GTTACACTTTGAAATTAAGGTTTAACGCCTCGTCGTCATTTAGCTTCAAGACGTTTTATTGCTTAAGAACAATGAAAAGGATTAAACACAAGTTGTTTCAACTTATTAACGCCTTCTCTTAAAACAAATTTCAACCTTAAATGTTCATTGGTACAAAAGATTCGGTCAGTTATGATCAATTCACGTGCTCTGGACAAGACCTCAGCCCCTTATAAAGACTCGTCGGGTTTTGTATGCACTAAATGAAACGATATCACATCAAAGATATTAAATTTCATTTTTTTCCGCCTATCAAACTTGTCACGTAGATTCATATAAAAGGAAACTTTTCCGTTATCCTAGGAGAAAGAATCACACATGTTACAATATATATTATCACAGACCTTATACACACTTCAGAATATCGTGTAATATCCAACACATCTATCCACTGCACAGTATACACAGATGATAGAGTAAGGCATTTGGCCTTTACCTTCTCTTCAATATCACCTTTAAGGTTTGCCTTCAGCTTAAACTGGCAAAAAGCTGGTCAATATTTATTCTGTGTAATTAATCTTGTCTAAAATCAGTGACTCTTGTTAATGTTTGTTGGATAGTATTTTTTGGGGCATAGAATCCTGTCTGCACTGTCATAAAGGCGCTTGTCCTTACGCAAAACATTTTGCCCTGGCGAATGAATTGTTGGAAGTCTTTTGTGGGAACAAAACCCTGTCTGGATTGCCAGAGAGACTCTTGCTTACGCCAAAGACTTTGCTCTGGCGAAAGAGCTATTGGAAGTCCTTTGTGGGTAGAGAATCTTTTCCCCTGTAATGTCTTTGATACTTGGCGTTTTCCTGCCGAGAAGAAATTCAGTCGATTGTCTCCAGATGTTGTGTGGTTTCGAGGACGGTCTTATAGGCATTCTACTCTGACCTGGGGCGGAAGTGGAACCCCATGAGGCAGTTTCTGGAAACCACATGGCCCTCTCCTTAAGGTAGCCTTCCACTGTGTATGTTTTCGCCCTCTCCAGAGTAGGCAGTCTCGGAGTGGTAATGTTAGTACAACTGACCGTTCTGAAGGAGAGTTCTCTCCTAGGTCGACGAGGCGAGTTTGGGTTGGTTAAAGGCAAAATTGTTTGGAAGGACATATTCTCCTGTTCGGTATCGGTGGTGGTTGATGATGCTCCAGGGGTCTTAGAACCGTCGAGGCTATTTTGATTCTGCGCGGATTTTATCTTCTTTTGAGTTGTCACATACGCACTCAAACGTTCGTTAAATCGTTGCTTGGCTTTGCGATCAACATCTTCTTTACTTGAGGCGTTAAGTGCCAACCTAACGACGTTAACATTCATACATTCATCATCTTTCTCCTCCTCCGAGGGATCTGGGCTCGTCCCACCGGGCTGGACAGGTTGTGCTGACCCGCCATGCCCGTGTCGTCTTTGCTCCCCCTTGACGTATCGATGGTAGAATGCCTTCTTCCCAAGGAACAGGTGGCGATCTTTGATGACGTCATCACTGAATTTGTAAATGTTGCTCATAGTAAAGACGGGTGACGGGGGTGGCACATGCTTGTTGATTAGACCAGTATCCTCCTCCCGTGGCAGGTACACATTTATGTAACTCTGTCCAAACCTTGGGGAATATTCTCTCTCCTCAAGTTCCTCACTCATGATGCCTTTCTAATTGTAACTTAATTGACGATACCCTTTTTTGCGGCGGTTTCATTCCATTTCCTTGTTTGACCAAGAATCATCAAGTTCTTGAACACAAACATTGATGTTTGTCAAGAAACCACACAAATCCTCTTCAACAAATACATTACTTGGCATGTAAAAATCTAATATCCTTGACTTTGTCCGGAATTAATTAGTTAATGCTAATTTCAGATTGGAATATTTTTCATCACCGCCATTTTGACACCGGTGTACAAACTAATGAGCTAGCTTATAACGATTCCTTTACTCTTAAACACGATCTCTAATGAATATCTAAATCCCAATCACAACATTGATGTGTCGTGTCAGTTTTAGAGAGTATAACTTGTCCTCCCTCCTCAGCCTGATTCATCAACACAGACGATTTCGGTGCTAAATCATACCGGTTACCATCAAGTAATGTGAAGGGGTAGCTTTGCTGCCAAATCGTTACAAGCACATTGCCAAAGCTTTCGTATTCCATTAACAATGGCGCTCAGATTGATATACACAGTCTTCAGGGTGACTGCCTTTTAAAATGTGTATCGAATAATTACAAAAACGGGTATATTAAACTAGTGTATACATTTTAAAGCCACGCTGAGCACACATGTTTGGAGACGTAGATAAAACAGACAAACACAACCAAAGTCACACAAAGGAATTTTCTATGGGGCTTATGAATCGTTTAAACCGTTAAGGGCCTGTGTAGATCTCTGACCGTACAATTACCGGTATAGTCAAGCTTTAATACAGTGTCTACTCATAATTAGGCACATGTCGCTATATTTGCACTCGCCTCTCGCTGACAGAAACTCGATATGTTGTACAATTGTAGTACTATAATGATTTGATTTAGGAGTTATTGAAATAAATGTATTGTAACGACATAAGACCGAATTGATATTTCGATTGCTTTCAATTTGAATACTTTTGTGGTCTCTAAAAATGGTACCGACACGAGTAAACGGTTCAAGTGTACATCATGCTCTATATGTAGAGGTTTTAGCTTCTAATTAAACGCCAATAATTGCATTTTTAAATGCTTCGTTGTAATGCGATAGTTTCAATTAGAAAGATAAAAATCAATTAAAAAAATGGGAAAGGTTATTTTTAATAATCTCAATATTTTATGCCTTTTTACATGACATGTTGAACTATATTGGAAGAGTATGTATACCAGTATGGTCAATGTGCTGCAGAGCTTATTTCAGAAAGTATCGGATGAGAAATGCAGACAATGACATTCTTTTGTACCCACAACTGTTGGTTAAAACTAGTTATGTGTCTGTAGTATCAGTTGGAACCAAAATAAAGAGCGTCAAAACAAAAGGTTAAAAGCTAAACACTAAATTTACTGTCGATATTTGTTTTTATTTGTTTTGTTCGGGGTTTAAGGTCCTCCAAACAGCTAAGGCCATATGAATACGGGTGCTTAAAGAGAAAGATCTGAAAAATGAGTAGCTAAACAATTTTAGTTTCCCAAATATCCTCAACAAGAAAAACTTATCACTTTTGTACTTATTGCAGACAAATTTTGAATGGAGTTTAATACCGAGCATTACAATTTAAATTTTCTTTTGAAAACAATAATAAATTAATAAATAAATAAATTCAAAACAAAAATCGATTTTAAAACTTCTTACAATATATAAATGTGAATAGAGGTTAAAAAAATGTAAAACTTTATAAATTAATAGTCTAAAATGTATAAATGAAACTTCTGATGTCTTATATAAATCTACCATGTAGCATACTAGCGTTATTTAGCCTATTTAAACCTTCCCTTATCTGATCGTATTAACTAATATATATATCTATACAGACATACAGTAACACCTAATTGGGACATTCTTCCCGTAATATATTGACTTTGACGTGTCACACGTCTTATCAAATAAGGAACGGAACCATTTCAGTTATATCATATGTATATTTCATCGGCACGCTTTCAATATATTTGTACAGCTTGGCATGTGACTATAAGAATGATTTATGAAGGACAAAATCTTTATAAATATAAGGTCATGTCCTCACATACGACGGGTAAGGCCTTGTCAATTTGATATTTCTAAGATAGGCAATAGTGTCAAATCACCATTACTTTATTATATAATAGTACGCAGCTTGTCATGTGCGAATTCAACGTAAATGTTCCTTCAAATCTTTGTGGTTTGACAGTTAATATAACTGTCAAAAAAAAATAACTGTCAAATGTGACTTGTATTAGTTTGAATTTTGGCTGTCAAAGTTACTTGATTAAATTGAGGTTTTACTTTCAATGTGACTTGTACTATCAATGTTACTTGTATTAGTTTGGGGTTTAACTGTTAATGTTCCTTTATCAGTTTTATGTTAAACAACATTGTATCACTAGTAGTACTATCAAATAAAGGCCAAGGACAGTTTCATTAACTTGACGACACGATCTGGAATTAATATATAAAAAAATATTGACGACACTTTAAACCTGACAATGCGAGTTAAGAACAATCAACAAAGCACCAAAAGGTAAACAGGACGTCGATCACTGCAGTCTTTAACTCTCAGTGGGTCAGTACTGGTATATAAAATTGGCATCTGTCGAGAGATACTTGCACAAATACACACGACTGTACCTTATTCGTAGTCAAAAGTGTGTAATTGCAATCTCGTGTGTTCAATGTGATGGCCCTTAAATTTCTCACATGACCATAACAGATAATATTCTACATGTGCTTTCACAAAATCAACAGAATCATTGAAATGTTTGAAAGACTTGTTTGAATTTACTCTGCGTTTCAAATATGACAAACACTTATTTGAAAAACTCTCCGCAATTTTGAAAGAGCATAAGCTGTAGTGTGAAGAAATATGAATAGATAATAAATGAATAATAAATAAAATAAATCAGAAAAAATAATTATCAGCACTTAGTAGGCAAAACTAGTCGCCTCAATAAAAAATATTTGTTGGAATAATAAAAAAAAAAAGGTAAGGATAATTCCTTTCAGGCTGATCTAATGCATTAAAAATAACGACTTTTATCTTTTCATGTCATTAAGTTAAGTCACCTTCATGCAACAGTGTCTTATTTCTAATAACGCACATGATCATCTAACTTTGATGAATACATAAATGTTAGACAATATGAAATTCAAATGATATGCATCCATAATAAGCGAAATAAAATACTTATAATGTTTCCTTTTGATTTTGTTTGCAAAGTCTACGAGTGTGAATTTTACCCTTGTATGTTGTTGCTGTGGTCTATCAATTATGTTAGCCATTATAGTATATTCCTTCCATATATCGGAATAATTAACACCCCATACAGTCTTCAACAGAACTCCGTTCTTTAATGTTACATCAATATCACATTTCAACACATAAATAAACATAATCTACATACAGGGGCGATATATATATGTATACTAGTACCGTTATTGTGTGAACAGGGTGTTCACGGCATAGTTCCACAACACACATTACAATGTAAATTAACGGCTAATTTAAATATCTCCTCGACGTTGTATTCAGGCCAACCTAAACAGGTACTTCATCAGGCTTCATTTTTTAAATCTTAAATTAACCATATGTAACACATTTACAAAAGATAGCAATTAAAGTACTTAAAAACACATTTTGTGTAGACTGCGATAGAACAACCATGACGTATTAATTGATATTTTGCGAGTTAAAGCGTTAAAATATTATCAAAAACCCAGAAAACGTTTTGCAATTACTAAAAGAAGAATGGGCGATTTTAATAGCATTACTGGAAATTCAAAATTAAAAATTCCATTTGAAAATGAAGTTACTCAATGCAGAAAGCCAAACCAAGCTAATCTGTTATATTGCAGCGTATGGCCATTTCGTCTATTAAAGACTTGTCAGTGGTATTATGTCAATGTATTGTGAAACACAATCTGTGAAGCCCGGTTACTGTATATAATATCAATTTCGATAAAACTTATTTCCACGCCGTGTTTGGGAGTATTTTGAGTTTGCTAAAAGAGAAAGACAGTCACACACATTGATTTTGTTTATGTATGAAAAATATATGAACACATTTTACCAGTTATTAAACCTTCATTCACTATATATTAATTAACGTTGACATATATATCTCGTGAAATATTGGTGATTCAAACTATTCCAGTCGGTCAGACATATCTATAAAGGAACAAATAGTATTTGAACCTCTGTTTAAACCAATATTTGACTAAGCGAAAGTTTCCCTGAATAGAGTACATGCTTAGCAAATCGGTTTTTTATTTATACAAAGATATACCAGGTATATGTCAATTTAACAAAACTTAGGCAGCCTATCGTGAAAGAAAATTGACTGCAAAGGAATCTGAGCCATATTTTAAGGCTTTTTCAAAGCGGACTTACTTTCGAGATATATTTTACTGAAAGAAATCCCAGGCTTAATTTCTAACCCGCCTTTTTTAAAAATTATGGTTATTATCAAGAGTTTAAGTTATGCCCCTTCAATCAATGAAGGACACGTATTAACATCTAAAGTACACATATTTGGCAGTACAATTTTCTTAATGATAAAACGTATGACATAAAACCTTTCTTCAATACACTATCATTGCACAACGTTGTAAATTAAAACCGAGAGTATTTATTCAAATTACAAGTAAAACTGCTGGCACAACAATCGATTGCAATACATACAGGCGACTAATCGCCAACCGATCAGATCAATGTACCATTAACACTATAACAATGAATAATAAATTAACAACAATATTGGAAATTAGCGATGTGTGTTTCCAAGAGTGTTGATTGGAATGCAACCACATCGCCAGAATAGAAAAACACAGATAAGCAACAATTGTCAAGCACCAGTCTTTTTTCTCAATTGTAGAGCAATATGTCTGTAAAGATGGCCTCCAAAAACACACACATGCCGAGGAAATAAAGGAACCACGTCTTCTCTTTTGGCAGTTCGCCTTGTCGGATAAATATTATCTGAAAGATCAACGACCAACATACAATTTAAAACAAACTAGTTATATTAATTTTATTGCATATGCCTTATATACAACGGGGATCGGGCAACATACAATACCTATGATTGTCTACCCTTATTATGATAAAGAGTGCATACATATCTTTGACAGTTTATATACAATAACCGTTCGATTTTTTTAAAAATATGATTGATAATATGACGTTGTTTAAATTATTTTTTGAACACGATAACTTCAAATTACATTGTATTGTTATAATACGAAGGTTGCCACAAACATTTGTGAATAAGTCAAAAATCGACATGTTGTTGATAGAGATGAATTTGATTCTATGCATTCTTAACGATACAGGACAAAAGCAGAAGAAGTGATACTATCAAACGTGTTCAAAGAGAGGAGAAAGGATAAAACAGAGAACCCTAACCTAACCCTAACCCTAACATATACACAAGATTGGAAAAACTTGATATTAAAGGACAACAAAAAGAATGCACCAAAACAAAATATGATATAATATTTAAATAATAATTAATTGAACAAAAGGAAAGAGTTTAGATAGAGAAGGAACCGGTCCAAACATTTCACGACGTTCTTATTTCAAGCTACTTCTTTTTTATCCATAGGAAAACATTGTTAGAGTAAAGTGAAATGTTCAGCTAGGGAAAATCTCCTTAACTTCGGTAATGCTTTCCTGTGGGAAATCGTAATTAAGGAATTTCTGTAAGTTACGGAATGTTCGTGAAACTAGGACAAGATTTATAATCATGAATTCTACAAGTTAAAAGGGATAAAAGGACGAAAATGTCCATCTTCTTTTCCAGTCATTATACCGCATTGCTTTTATAGATACCAGAACAATTTAATTTTTAGTGATAATGCTTTTAGATTGAATTTAGATGAGTGATGTATACTAATGTCTGTGATCGTAACAACTAACACCTTAAACAGGTTCACTAGCTTCCCAAGTGCATATCGAATACCATATACACGTTTCTTTAGTAATTTTACTCGCTATTTGTGTCACATGCATGAAACATGCAGTCATCTACATTTTGCTTGCTGCTATATGCATACGTTCAAATATGTTTATTTTTCGAGGATCAAAGACAAATAAATTGTGACATTACCAATATTATTTCCAGGACGACAAACCCGACTAGACTGACTCCAAGCATGAAGTACAAGCCGCCATCTTCTCCAACGACGATACCTCGGTATATGGAAAGTATGACGCAGACCTGTAGAAAAGAATTGAGAAACATATTGTAACAGTCTCTGATGTACTCTCAGTGTGGTGTATAAAAATCTAGTTTGTGGAAGACGAACGCTTTCTAGTTTTGATAGAAACAAAACATGGTAATTTGGAGATCAATATTTTCTCAAAACATTGAAACATAAAAATGCATTACGTCAGGGATATCAGTCCCCCTTCAGGCAAACCCTTAGAGAATCCCGGTTTAGTTTTATCGTACGTTTTGTAACCTTCCCTTGATTTCGTTTTGGATATTACTGTAGCGTTGCTGGGCAAGAGCACTATTTCTCTTACCCTGGACAGGGATATCCAACATTTTACCGGTGTGAGATTTTCTTATCTCACCCTAGGGTTGAGACAAGCTACACGTGTTCTTTGCACGTTCTCAACAATTGTATGACGTCATAGCAACAATAACATGACGTCACGGCAACAATACAATGACGTCATGTCGACAGTTCAGCCGCATCACATCAACATTGTATTGCATTGATGTAACGTCTATGTAAAATACAAGGGTAAACAGTGTTAGAGAAAAATAATTATTCACCCCCTTGGGAGTGAGACAGGGTGATCTCAACCCTCGGGGTAAGATTCTTAAGCTGTCAAACACTCGGCAATAGTAATCTTACCCCTCGGGTTGAGATTACCCTGTCTCACCACCAATGGGGTGTAAAATTCTATTAATCTTTCACCGGGAAGCTCAGTTGATCGGGGGTCCGAATCCTTGTCTTGCCCTGTTGCGTTTAACATTAAGAACACTGTTGTTGATTGTCCCCATTTTTGTATAAGTTAGGTACATGTTTTTTTCTAGTCATGCCGAGACAAAAGGATTTTATGCATAGTTACAGTTTTTAGCATTGGTACGGGGTTCTGGAAATGAGGATATTATGCAGTAAAAGGAGTTGAATCTTCCACTAAGAGAAGCATCTGTCAAACACTCAAACAGTTAAATGTGTGATGAAGTGTTCATGTATGGTGTGTTTCCATACTTTGAACTCATTGCTTTATGCTTTTGTCATATTCAATTTAACGTCAAACCAATATTGACTTCTTCTTAGTGTTTGACAGCCTCAAATCGAGTTTTCATTACACGCTATTTATAACACAAGATGGTTATAGTGATGGTATCGTTATAGCTACTGTTGCCAATATCGAATACAGTGCATGTGTATACGTACCAACACCATAATGGCAACCAAAATGACGAATACAATCTGCAACGCCCTCTGAGGATATAAATAGAACGGCAACATTACAATCTGATCACCGAAATTAAATGAAAACATATCAAATAGGGAAATAGTTGTTGTTTTACTGTTTGCATTGTTTACAATTCGTGGTTTATTTAGAAGTGTCAAATAGCTAATTTAGAAATACTCCAATGTTGAAGCAGGAGAACTTCGATATAACGCCCTTGTTTCATTTGCTAACTCAATTACCGCTAATGAATTTCAATGTTCTTTTCCCCCTTGTTTTCTAGATAAATCCTTTTAATGTCTTAATCGAAATGTCGCAAAACCAATTTATAACGCTACACAACCAAACTTTGGCAGTATAACGAGGTTTTCTTGTAGTTGGTTCATAATCGAGAAAGGACCACTTTGATAACCGATAATACACAAATTCCGTAATGCTAACTGAAGATTTGCATCAAGGTAAGGGGGTATTAACTAATAGCAAGATAGAGAGAGTAAATGACTTGTGTTCGAACTTACGGCTCGCGGTCCCTGATATTTGTCATGGAAAACTGCATTGGCCTCGGTAGCAGTGGTTTGCTGAGTCCTCATCAATGGCTTCGAGTCGTCTGCCATTTTGAAATCTCACACTTCCGTATATCGTATCGAGGCTGTTTAACAATAACCATGTGAATGTGATAAATAGATCGTCGAGCTATTCCGAGCGGATGATGTGATGCGATAACGTTTGTTTATCTGGCGTCAATAAACGATGTCTTGTGAGCCCTTATCACATGACGTTGTTTCAACATGGCGGACCAGGTCACCAGCACGGAATCCAACGCTATATACCATGAAGTTCCTCCAACAATTGTATGTATAAAATATATATAATTTTACACCTGTAACACTGTTGTCATATTTTTCTACATTTATGATGATGTTTGGAAAGAAAAGGTTAGTAGAACTAGTTTAAATTGTACATGTGTATCAAGGATGTAAACAATTATTCGTGACTCGGATATTTAATTGTGTCATTTATTTGCAAGCCTATAACTTCCTGTTTCATATGTTGTTATGGGGATACAGTGATATTTCTTTAATTTTCTGAATAGGTATAGTGACATCAATTACAGCTGAAATTTTCTTTATAAGAGATAATCTTAAATCATCAAAAAAGAAGTTTTTCTTTTTCTTTTTTGAGGGGGGATCAAACTAAATGTGTTTCTAATAAATGGTCACTGCATATATAAACTATGGTCTTTTTTTGTTCCAGACCTTCCTTCTCCGGTTCTGTAACGTAATAATGGCGCTGATGATAGTGGTAAGCATGTTTACACAAATTCTACGATCACATTTTCATCACACTTATGCATGCATTATTATCTAGCCCGATTTTCATTGTTTTTTTGCCAGTGTAATCTCTTCAGTTGCGACGTCAGTATATGAACATTTGACGGAACGTCATAGACAAAACAAAATAGTGAAAAGTATGTTCGTCCAATTTCATACACTTCGGACGAAACGCGAATTAGATTCTTAGTGAATGGGGACCGTAGACAGTTGGCGAATTTGTTACCATTTGTTTTTTAATTAACTTCGTCCTGTTTTTTGTGGGTTTTTTTGTGGAACTCTTTGGAATGAAAATAGTAAGTTAAAGTAGTATATACCCTGAAACAAGTACTTTATGAGTTATCAAATACGTCACCTTTGAATTGAGCAGAAATAAAAATGACCTAAAATTATATAGTATTTATTGTTCTTATTACCCTTGTTATTAATAACGGAAACCTGAATATGTGTTTGCAATGGTTGTATTATCATAATGACGTGAACGTCATTTGTTTAAATCATATGTAAGACAAAACACGGAAATTGGTTTACATAACACATAAACTATTCCGCGATATATAAACACATCTGACCTTTCGTGTGAATGACATTTTCCTAGCAATTCCCGTGCATTACATGTGTAAGGCTCATTGTCTGTTTGTGTTGTTTTTTTTTTTTTTTTTTTTTTTTTTTTTGTAGACTCGTATAACCTTTCCACGCAAGGTTCACCACAGGTAAATGTCAATCGACTCTTAGTCAAATATCACTTATCTGATATTAAAATGTCACTTTCTCTTGTAGATATCGTTTACCATGTGCCTGGTAGAAGGACACCGAAACCAAACATTTTACTTACTGGCCTGCAACACTGTTAGTAAGTATCACAATAACATCATATCCTAAAGGTTCGGAAATTCAGCGCGAAAAATTGCAACGTGTAAATTGTCACATCGCAATGTTTGAAAATTCGCGAATGTTTTACCTGTATACTATATATCCTGGTACATCGAATAAGGAGCTTCTCTTTAGGTGTGTAATGCACATGGCATTTTCAGTGTTGTGTCAAAATAATGTTTTTTTTCTGCTCTTTAGTTCATTCATTTTTACATTTTTTACTGAATTTTCCAAAAGTCAATTGTGCAGCTATTGAAACGAAATTGTGCATTATGTAAAGTAATTAAGTGTTTTCTTATGATATTTTCATTATTTTCTGTTAAGTTGTTCAAGAAATTTTAAAACCGAGCTACGGCAAATAATGAAAATATTTTGAGAGAAAGAAAATAAACTATTCTCTTTCATGATACAAATGTTCGTATCGATAGTATAACAATTGGACTTCTGGCAAAACTTGTAGAAATGCATGAAATAGAGCACGGAAATGCTTGTGACCTTTAATTTGGCATGAAATGTACATTGACAAGTATACAGAGGCTTGACGTGATTCTCAGATAAGTATGAATTGTCCATATGATACTTCACCACATTATTTTCATTGATTGTTTGACACGGTGTACAATGCTAAGAAAAATAATTTTGTCTATTTTTCTGAAACTAACCACTAGTTTAAGGCATTAGACAAATTTATAAACAGACTTTTAGTACACGGTTATAGAGTTACACAGATTGGAATATGTTGTTTTAGTGAATCTCTGTGAAAACAGTGCACAATGCAAACGTTGTATAAACCCGTTTTTTTTGTATTGTTGTTGTTGTTGTTGTATATATTAGGTTTTTTTATATAATAACTGCCACTGCTTTTGCACATGGTGATCGCAATGGACATATTACAGCACAAGTAGGTAATTTGGTCAGTACGACTTTTTGGGATTGGCTTTACTTTTGTTAGTTTGTTTGGAGTTTAACGTCCTCGCAACAGCCAAGGTAATATGAGGACGGGTATCTAGGGAGACACAACAGCCAAGGTTACATGAGAACGGGTATTTAGGGAGACACAACAGCCAGGGTCATATGAGGACGGGTATCTAGGGAGACACATCAGCCAAGGTTACATGAGGACGGGTATCTAGGGAGACACAACAGCCAGGATTATATGAGGACGGGTATCTAGGGAGACACAACAGCCAGGGTCATACGAGGACGGGTATCTAGGGAGACACAACAGCCAAGGTAATATGAGGACTGGTATCTAGGGAGACACAACAGCCAAGGTTACATGAGGACGGTTGACGTTAACAGGATACGTCTTCAGTCAGTTGTTGCTTAAGTCAGTTTTCTCTGCTTGATTGAACATCCTAACGTTCATCTTACAAGTTTTCCATGTCTGTCAAAGTGATTTGTATTGCATTATTATTTCTGTTTTCTGTTTCAGTAAGCGCGCTCGTTGGAGTAGTTGTGGTAAGTACTTTCTTGTGTAAAAGACATGCGAATTAGAAAGATGAGTCAGTTTAGAAATATGTAAATATCGAAGTTTACTTTATGCACAAACAATGTTGAATACTTATGTTGTTTGTGTATAAAGTAAAACTTAAAGATATAATTGATAATTTCGCCCCAAAAAGACGAGATATTGTATCATTTAATTCTCGGGGCGATAAGACGAGATTAAATAATTTGCTTAAATCTCGTTCGTTTACAAAAAGACGAAAAATTACACGCTAATTAGCAACCTTTCAATTTGTTTCTTTTCGGGGTAGAAAATTATCTTTTCGTTGCTCGCTCCGAAAAGACGGAATCCAAAAAAAATCCTCATTCTCGTTCTTTCGTTTTTTCACCACGAATTTTGAAAATTTGCATCAAAGTCTCAAGCTTTACAAAACTTGGCCTTCAATAATTGTTTGAAAAAGTGTAAATAATACAATAATATACAAGGTATAATGAGAGAAAAAACATAATATGTTCGCTCCTGTTCTAAAATGCCATCGTTTATTCTTCATTCCCTTTAGAACTGGTGGTACAGAGGAGGCGACTTGGTAAGTTCTAACCAACGCAGGTGCATTTTAGTATTTTTTTTCGCTAGCTTAAGGTCCATGAACATCCCTAAACTTAAGGCAATTCCTTAATTTAAGCTTTATCACCTTTAAAAGTATAACTGTAGTGAAATCCAAATTTCCTCTACTTACGATTTTGCCTTACTAAAACATGATTTTCAATGGGGAAAAAATAAACAAAACCATAGTTTGAACTCAAAATCGATAAAAAAAAGGAAATATACAAACAAAAAATTAATACAGAGACACGTGAAAACGTACAGGGAGAATAGGACCGAGTGTACCGGTAGGGTAAGCGTCTTTTGTTGTTTGGAAAGAAATTGAACTGAATTTTCCTGACAACTTTGTCCAGATTGGTCTGGTTAAATGTATTATTACTTAAATACAATGCTTAGTTCAAATATGAAATTCCATGATAAACGCTTCATTTAATGTGTATTTAAATACCTGGAGATTTCAGAATCAAATTTAACCATTTCTTGGACTATAAAATCCGTCAGACTAACTAACTTCATCTTCTGTCTTTTTACAGGGTTCAGATAAATACTGGTATATTTTCATTGTGGCTGCCGTGATAACATTCCAGTGTATAACAACAGACGTATACCTTTTCAAATCCACACCAACTGACGACACGAATATCCACCCGGCTTCTGTAAGGACAACACCCAGACCAATTAACAGATCTACGATTACAGCTGCCACAATACAGAGCCTGTTCGACTTCAACACACCCAACCCCTTGTCTAAGACATGAACTTGGTGTTTTCTTGGACATGATCTCTGTATATCTAGAGCGGGTTTACGGGCTTCAGTAACATTCCCTCTCCATAAACTTTAGTCATCACCCACGAACCTAAATGATCAACTACTCCATTATCACAGCCAAAACCTTGACAAATCAATCATTTCAACGCCAAAGTCATCGCAAACGACTAACCAACCTGTCCATACCTATATCCATTACCGTTACAGGGCAAACTGTCCATACCTATATCCATTACCGTTACAAGGCAAACTGTCCATTCCTATATCCATTACCGTTACAAGGCAACCTGTCCGTACCTATATCCATTCCCGTTACAAGGCAACCTGTCCATACCTATATCCATTACCGTTTCAAGGCAACCTGTCCATACCTATATCCATTACCCTTACAAGGCAACCTGTCCATACCTATATCCATTACCGTTACAAGGCAACCTGTCCATCTCCACAGCAAACACCCTGACTAGCAAACCAGTTTAGCGCCGAAGTCATCGCGACGGGCTAGCCAATAGTCTACACCTACAGCCATTAGTCCGATGCAACTAGTTCATAGCTGCAATAATCGGCCTGAATATGCAACCAGTCCGTCTCCAGAGCTAACAACCTGATAAACAAACCACTTCAGAACCAACGCCATTGCACCTACCTTGTCAACCTGTCCATAAATAAAGCCATTGCACCTACCTTGTCAACCTGGTGTCCATAACTAAAGCCAACAACCATACAAGTAACAAGTGCATCTCCACAGTCAACGTGATGACTAGCAAAACAGTTCACTTCAACAGCCATAATCAAACAAGTCCAGTCAACTAGCCCATATCTAAAGTCATCGCCCCTGAATAACAACCTGGCTATCCATCCTGTCCGTCTCCCAGACTAGCAAACCAGTTCATCTCCACAGCAATTGACATTCAATAACCAACAAGTCCATAACCACAGCCAATATATTAACCAGTCAAAAAAGTTTGTCACCACTAGTTAACAGAGCAAACACCCTGGCTATCTAACCAGTCAGCCTCCACAACCAACCAATCTGACCTATCAAAAATTCAAAAACCACGAGCAGCATCCTGGCTAGCCATCCTATCCACCTCCACCAATAAGCTACCCCTACAGAAATGAGAGGTATCTACCAAATATTTGTGGCAATGTTGCAGTAACCATTTGCTGCAAATTTACTGCAAAGAATTTTTGGTGATGAACAGGTTCTTGCAACTTTGGCACAAAGTTGATGCAAACAAAAGTTGCTTGCAGAAATTTGCAGCAATGTCATAAATGTTTGCAGCTAGCTGCAAGAACCTGTAAACTTCTTGGAAAACAAAATGGTTTGCCACAAATTTGCTTCCAACTTAACTTTTCTGTAAAGGTATCTTTTCTATAACCATAGTCATCACCATGGCAATCAATACACCTCCACAACCACCGTCATACAGCCATCACAGTGATAAATAAACAGGTCTACGATCTGTCAATTGAGTCCCTGGTGGAGTTCTTTAATGCCTTGCCCTTCCACTAAGACATACCAAGCAGCTAAAATAACATTACATTTCTGTACGAGTTTTGTTTGTTTTATTGTGCTTTTTAAAAGTTTCTCAGTCAAATGCTTTCTACATCGCCCACACCAGGAATTCGGTTTTTGGATTGGCGACACCTCCGGATTCCCAGTCCTTGCTGTGAACGTTTATTTCTTAGTGTCATAATAATTCAATATTTCAACTCTTATTTGTCTCACTACATGTATAAATGTACAAATATAATTTCCTTTTGAAGGTTTCTTGGGTTGGTTGTATAAATGTTATTAAATAATTTACAGAAAACAACTGAGCTGATTTTTAGAATTTAATTTTGTCCATTACATTGTACAACTTAAAAATCATTTATTTCATTGATAACTTTTGAAAAATGACTGGTATTAACTATTTTAGTCTTTTACACATCTGCATTAAATATATTTGTGGGAATTATTTATCATAATTTATAAAAACAAAATGCGATTTTTTTTGTATAGTTTGTGCAATATAGCACTGTATAAAGCCAGTTTCCTCTTGGTCCCCTGCGTGCATCAGAGGGCAGGTAACAGTAAGTTCTAAATTCGGATTTTCAAGAGATCTGTAGACAAATTGAAAAAGATGTTTAGATCCCATCATGACAAAGCTGTGCTACTTATATCCTGATTGTGTTCTTATTAACAAACTGTATTAGTTTATTCAACAAATGTGCAATAATATCAATTTACCAAGAGGATATGTAATACAAATATCTTTTATCATCATCATCATCATGAAATCATCATCATCATCATCATCATCTTGAACAGAAACGTTAGTTAACTCCTACACATGTGCTGCTCCAGTGACATAGATTGTAAATCTTTTTAATATTAATGAATTTGAATATTTCTTTAGTCGTATGAAATATACTACCTAATGTTAAAATCCAGATCAAAGGAGGATCATGAAAAAAAAAGATCCATTAGAACATATGAAGACAAAGCACTGTTAATAATTTTTACTATTCTGTATTTAATACATGTAATTTATTTCATTAAATGTTAAATACAAAAGTTTAGCTAGTTGTCATGTTGTCATTTTCTAATTTCTGCCTTAAATACAAGGGAAACAACTCAGTGTAAATTGATACATTTTTAATGTAGTAAATACAGGTTGATGCACCGAGGAATATTTTTATTCACACAGGCAAACATACATGATGGAATTTAAACAAAGTTTTTAATTCAGGTGTTCAACATAATCCACTGACTTTCTTGTCATTTTCCCTGGAAATCCAATGAATGGGTCTTTTTACATATTCTTTGTCACCTGCCTGCAAAAACATCCTTCACAGGTAAAGAGCAATACCTTGTCTAAAACTTTTATCCACAGTCTTCGTAATAGCACTATTGATCTGTATTGTTTTTTTATTGCACTTGTGCAGTAGGAACAATATCATCTAGGCATTAAACAACTTTCAGTAACCATAGCAACACACTACCAGGTCATGACCTTCACGTAAAATGTACTTTCCCTAGTGTAAATATCCCTTACAGCACAAGCATATTGGGATCTTTTAAGTATTTCACAAATACCAAGGTTCCATTGAAATATAATTTTAATCTTGTCTGTTATCGATATGGTTACTGCGCCATTTGTGACTCCATGAACTTGACCATCCAGTCGGGTGCTGTTTGGTCGATTTTCTCTATGATCTGGTTGACTTGGAAACACAGACTCTGAATCTGCTTATCCCATGTGGGTAGTGCCTCACGGTCTGAAAAAACAAAACAACATAGCTATAGACTACAAAATAGATGTCAAATTTTATTTTGGCAATTGTGAAGAAACATCCAAATAATTCCTACTGCCCATTGTTCAAGTACGTCAAGATAAAGTCCACAGCTCTCGTTATTTAGAGCTGTTACAATATATGGGAAGACCTTAATGCAATACGCAGAAATTTTCTAGTGCAATGTAAAAATATCGCAATGTTTTTCAGAAGTTTATTTTCATGTATTGGCCAGATTTTTTAACTTTTCAAATTACTGCAATAACCAACAGATATGTTGATATTTTTAAAATTGGCTTATACTAGAGATGGGAATTGGCTGAGATATCACACCTGATGACTGGTTCAATGCAAATCTAAAATCTTTAGGATGTATGTTGTCGAGTTGGACAGCATTTGGCAACATTTTCGTATGAAAATTAAGCATATTTTAAGAAGAAAGAAAGATTTTTTTCCCGTGACAAATATATTGTGATATATATCACAACACATCCTTTTTTGGTTGAGTTTGTTGATGTACTACGTCTTTCTGTTTTTCAGTATCATAGAATAGAAAAGAGAATTTGTTTTCAATGTGTTGTCACTTAACTCATTCACCCCTGAAGACACATCATTTGAACTCTTCCAAATCAAAGATTGGAATAGTTCATTGTGAAATTTCAGGGGTGAACTAGTTAAACTCCATTTGTGGACATTAGATCAAATTTTTGGAGATTTCTGTCTCCAAGGGAAAGGTGGGGGATGCCGTATGCCTGTTTTCTTTCAATCAAAGTGGTAAATATTTGTACCTTCAAAATGTACAATGGAGTCAATCTGATCTATACATCCGTTCATTCTCTCCTCGGTTATCATCTGGGAAGCAATCTTTTCTGCCTGTACATAAACCAATAGAAATAAACAATTATGAAATGAACAAACAACTTTAAATCAGATATTTTTATAATTATTACAACTGTAAATAAAATACATGTTCTTCTCTATCCAAATGATCTTCCTCGGGTAATACACTGGCAAATAAAATCATATTTATACAAAGATTTGAAGAAAAAAACCATGAAAAACTTAAATTAACATATTTAAGCAAGATACAAACTGATCTGGCTTGCATCGCATTATAAAGATCCTCATAATGAACTAAATCTTAGACTATTCAAGTTCAATCTGAAACTTCAATCATTACCATTTTCTACAAATATTAGCCCTCCACGGATAGTAAAAATATCATGTACAATGGGCCAAAGATACATTTAATATTACAATAACCGATAACATTTAAGAAAATTTAATAGATTTTTTTAATTTTTTAATTTTTTTATTTTTTTAGTTTCAAATTGGATTTTATTCCCCCAGCATCTTTAAGGGAGGGATGCCAGGGTTGGGGTGCCCTGGACTCATCCCTCTTACACAACATAATAGGGATTTTATATGAAAAGTTGAACCATTGAAAATATATTTGAAAACCTGCAGTATGGTCTCTTGAGTGGTTCAGCATTCCATATCACAGCAGTCACATAACATTCTAATTTCCTCGCCAGATGACTCACCTTTTTAATAGGAGAAACACAATTATAAATGGCGAAGTACCTTAGTCGAGGGAATTTCCAAGAGCGATCCAAGTTCACCGAAAGATATATTGTTGTACAGCTTACTGGCCGACAAAAGGTTGTGTTCAATCACAGCTCGGTCTAAAATCGTTGATCCTTCGAAATACGAAACATAACACATTCATTTTGGATTAAAATCATCACCAACAACATCAACGCGTCTTCAATTAGTTACCAATGTCCACAACTTTGTGTATATTTGAAAAGCTGGATGGGGATAGGGGAATCATTCTATGTGTTTGTCATCGTTATCACCAGGGAATGCATGTTATTTAATGAAAAGCTGTGCTTGATTAGGAATCACGTTTTTAGTCCCAGCTCCCCATTGCAATGTGGGATGCAGTGTGGAATAAAAAGAGAATTTATGTACATCTTTTCATTACTTTTTTTCTGGTCAGTTTGGTGAGCTCTATATACTGTTAAAGTAATTATTTTGGTGGACTCAAATTTTAGCGTGTTACTGAATCTCAACCATAATCTAAAGTGTGAAAAGCGTTGAAATTAGAATACCGCTAAAAGATATGAACTTACGGTATTAGAACCATGCCAGGGCTATCAAGTAGGTCATAATGAAGGTTTTTAAGGCCTTTTGAGTGATTTAAGCATATGCCCCATGTGTTGCAGATAACAAGTTTGGATTTAATGAGGCTAATTCTCAACATAGAATAGAAAGCTGATCTGAACACATTGATACTCTTGATAGACACGAAACTAACATTTAATTTTGGAAAGTATTGGTGAATGATGGACAGAATAAATGCTTACCATCACTGGTTACAGCCTTCTGGTGAGATTGTAAGTAAGACGCAAATTCTTGTAAATCACTACTTCGGATTATTCTGTCCAAGTACCTGAAATTTTGAAAAAAAATCTTTAAAAAAACCTATTTCAGGTAATGCTTTGGGAAAATTAAAGACGATTTTCAAATCTGGCATAATCAAAAGTGAATAAACACTTGAGCACAGAGCATTGACAATCGATACCTTTCAATATGCTATCTCTTTCTTGTCATTTAAACCATTCAGATACGGACTACCTGGAAACTTTCACTCGGTCAAATTTTCACTCCTCACTGGTAGAATCCATTTTTGAAGTGTTGATTTGCCCAATTCACATATTATAACTACAGTATGTTGTATTCCCCCCTCGTTATGGCGGGCTAAAAAGGTGAAAGTTAAAATGTGGCGAAATTTCACAGTATATATATATAATATTGACTTACATTTTTTCTAGTATGTGGTAGGCTGGTAACTGTTGGCATCGTTCGTCTTTAAATAATGTAGCTAACATTCGCGATCTTTGCTGTCCTTTAAAGCAATGAGACATACGGATATTAGTTAAACATTTTAAACATTCAGTTATACATGTATGCACTAACATATTGATTTTTCTATTTTTATCATGATATTAAAATCAGTGTCTGACATAAAATAATGAAAAAAAAAAAAAATGTAATTGTGGATATCTTTCAAGCTATTTTTTTCATGTTGCAGATATTCAAAATTGTTAGAATTTTAATCCTTTCATACACGATCTAGTCAATGTGATGTCTGACATTTAAAATTATTTTCTATGTTGATTCTCTTTTTAACTATCTGGTTAAAGTATGCAGGACATTGCTGTGATCTGATTTTGAAATATCATATTAATTGCAAAAACTGTAAAGAACCTCAGCTCATCAAAAGGACGTTGCGATAAAGACGGTTCTCATTCACTGATTGTTATGGGTCTATGTTTCCAAAGGCTCTTTTATAGTGCAAAACAACTTTACAACATTACAGCAAATAAACCATATTATCTGACCAGACCATATTATGTAGGATTATAAGCAGTCAGAGCAAGACGGACAGAGGACAGATAAATACAGATAGTTAATTACCTGCTGACGCTAGAATTGTACAGATTAGTGCATTTTTCAGTGAGGTGAGTCTCTCATCCTCGGCTATCAGGGTGCGGAATGACAGCTCGTTGTATCTCACAGCTGCTTCGATAAATTTACGGCGGTAATCCAGCACACGGGCATAACAGGCCTGAAAAAGTTGCCAAATATACACAAGATTGTTTTTTCTTTTTGGTCTTAGCTTACGCTACCTTTCTGTGTCATATATATCTCCTCTGTGAAATAGTTTCATAGAAACCAGTGAAATATCTTTTATAACTGTGATTCATAAATGAAGACATGTTTGAAAGAGTTTATAGAACAAGAATTCCACGGAAGTGGATGTGTCGCCTGCGCAGGAAGCTGGGAGGTATCCCTATTTTTTTTCTTGAAAATGCAAGTATGCCTAGCACTGCATGAAGTTTGAGTTTGATCGGCCCAAGGAAACTCAAGTTATCACACGAAAACAGATTTTCTATTTATAGTAACAGTAACCTTGACCTTTGACCATCGGACCTGAAAAGCAATCCCAAGCAAGCACTTTTGGTAAGGAAGCACTGCATGAAGTTTGAGATTGATCGGCCCAGGGAAACTGAAGTTATCGCACGAAAACATATTCTATTTATAGTAACAGTGACCTTGACCTTTGACCTTCGGACCTGAAAAGCAATCCCAAGCAAGCACTTTTGGTAAGGAAGCACTGCATTAAGTTTGAGTTTGACCGGCCCAAGGAAACTCAAGTTATCGCACGAAAACCTCTGTTCGGACGCCGACGCCAATATATCAATACCAGTGTCACCAGCTTTTCGCAGTCAACACAAAAATGAATGCATTGATAGGTATATCTATAAGAAAACAGTTCTAGCACAGATCACAGGTAAGTTGAGTAAGGTAGCATATTGCCTTAAGTTGTGCATAGCAGCCATCCCACACTTTTTAAATTTCAAGCAAATACCTGTAGTACAGCAGGAACAGAAAATGTACACGTTAGTAATGGTATTGAGTGCTACACAATGTATCCTACCTTGTAGTGTATCTGTAGTTCCTCGTTCTTAGTATCGGCCTGTAGGAGTGAGGCTCTGTTTATGTAAGCCTCCGCCTGAACGGGGTCCTCGTCCTCCAGGTAAAGTCTAGCTATCTTCAGGTATGTTTCCAATTTGTAGTCCGTAGCATATTGCCTGGGTTAAACAAATCAAGATAAATGAATCCTCAATTCAATTACTTCCAAACTTTTAACATGTGTACTCCTTAAGGCAATTTATTTTATTTTTCAAGGTAAACAGACAATACTTAAGTATTGCATAACAATAGCGATAAATCGTCTAGTAATGATGCAGCTTATGTCCCAAATCCTGACACATTGTCTAGTAATGATATAATATATGTCTCCTACCACGACACATTGTCTAGTAATGATATAATATATGTCCCATACCACGACACATTGTCTAGTAATGATATAATATATGTCCCCTACTACAACACACTGTCTAGTAATGATACAATATATGTCCCCTACTACGACACATTGTCTAGTAATGATATAATATATGTCCCCTACCACAACACATTGTCTAGTAATGATATAATATATGTCCCCTACAACAACACATCGTCTTGTAATGATGCAGCTTATGTTCCTAATCCTGTCACATTGTCTTGTAATGATATAATATATGTCCCCTACCACAACACATTGTCTAGTAATGATATAATATATGTCCCCTACCACAACACATTGTCTAGTAATGATATAATATATGTCCCCTACCACAACACATTGTCTAGTAATGATATAATATATGTCCCCTACCACAACACATTGTCTAGTAATGATATAATATATGTCCCCTACCACAACACATTGTCTAGTAATGATATAATATATGTCCCCTACCACAACACATTGTCTAGTAATGATATAATATATGTCCCCTACCACAACACATTGTCTAGTAATGATATAATATATGTCCCCTACCACAACACATTGTCTAGTAATGATATAATATATGTCCCCTACCACAACACATTGTCTAGTAATGATATAATATATGTCCCCTACCACAACACATTGTCTAGTAATGATATAATATATGTCCCCTACCACAACACATTGTCTAGTAATGATATAATATATGTCCCCTACCACAACACATTGTCTAGTAATGATATAATATATGTCCCCTACCACAACACATTGTCTAGTAATGATATAATATATGTCCCCTACCACAACACATTGTCTAGTAATGATATAATATATGTCCCCTACCACAACACATTGTCTAGTAATGATATAATATATGTCCCCTACCACAACACATTGTCTAGTAATGATATAATATATGTCCCCTACCACAACACATTGTCTAGTAATGATATAATATATGTCCCCTACCACAACACATTGTCTAGTAATGATATAATATATGTCCCCTACCACAACACATTGTCTAGTAATGATATAATATATGTCCCCTACCACAACACATTGTCTAGTAATGATATAATATATGTCCCCTACCACAACACATTGTCTAGTAATGATATAATATATGTCCCCTACCACAACACATTGTCTAGTAATGATATAATATATGTCCCCTACCACAACACATTGTCTAGTAATGATATAATATATGTCCCCTACCACAACACATTGTCTAGTAATGATATAATATATGTCCCCTACCACAACACATTGTCTAGTAATGATATAATATATGTCCCCTACCACAACACATTGTCTAGTAATGATATAATATATGTCCCCTACCACAACACATTGTCTAGTAATGATATAATATATGTCCCCTACCACAACACATTGTCTAGTAATGATATAATATATGTCCCCTACCACAACACATTGTCTAGTAATGATATAATATATGTCCCCTACCACAACACATTGTCTAGTAATGATATAATATATGTCCCCTACCACAACACATTGTCTAGTAATGATATAATATATGTCCCCTACCACAACACATTGTCTAGTAATGATATAATATATGTCCCCTACCACAACACATTGTCTAGTAATGATATAATATATGTCCCCTACCACAACACATTGTCTAGTAATGATATAATATATGTCCCCTACCACAACACATTGTCTAGTAATGATATAATATATGTCCCCTACCACAACACATTGTCTAGTAATGATATAATATATGTCCCCTACCACAACACATTGTCTAGTAATGATATAATATATGTCCCCTACCACAACACATTGTCTAGTAATGATATAATATATGTCCCCTACCACAACACATTGTCTAGTAATGATATAATATATGTCCCCTACCACGACACATTGTCTAGTAATGATACAATATATGTCCCCTACCACGACATATTGTCTAGAAATGATATAATATATGTCCCCGACTACAACACATTGTCTAGAAATGATATAATATATGTCCCCTACCACAACACATTGTCTAGTAATGATATAATATATGTCTCCTACCACAACACATTGGCTAGTAATGATATAATATATGTCCCCTACCACAATACATTGTCTAGTAATGATATAATATATGTCCCCTACGACGACACATTGTCTAGTAATGATATAATATATGTCCCCTACCACAACACATTGTCTAGTATTGATATAATATATGTCCCTTACCACAACACATTGTCTAGAAATGATATAATATATGTCCCCTACCATGACACATTGTCTAGTAATGATACAAAATATGTCCCCTACCACGACACATTGTCTAGTAATGATACAATACATGTCCCCTACCACAACACACTGTCTAGTAATGATATAATATGTCCCCTACCACGACACCTTATCTAGTAATGATACAATATATGTCCCCTACCACAACACACTGTCTAGTAATGATACAATATATGTCCCCTACCACGACACATTGTCTAGTAATGATACAATATGTCCCCTACCACAACACAATGTCTAGTAATGATACAATATATGTCCCCTACCACAACACATTGTCTAGTAATGATACAATATGTCCCCTACCACAACACACTTAATGATATAATATATGTCCCCTACCACAACACATTGTCTAGTAATGATATCATATATGTCCCCTACCATGACACATTGTCTAGTAATGATACAATACATGTCCCCTACCATAACACAATGTCTAGTAATGATACAATATTTGTCCCCTACCATAACACAATGTCTAGTAATGATACAATACATGTCTCCTACCATAACACAATGTCTAGTAATGATACAATATTTGTCCCCTACCATAACACAATGTCTAGTAATGATACAATATTTGTCCCCTACCATAACGCAATGTCTAGTAATGATACAATATATGTCTCCTACCATGACACATTGTCTAGTAATGATACAATACATGTCTCCTTCCATAACACATATTTTTCATTGTCTAGTAGTGATACAATACATGTCCCCTATACCACGACACATTTATAATACATGTCCTATAAGGACACATTGTCTTACGAGAAATTTTCATTTCTGAATATAATGGATACTAACAAGAACTCCCTGCCAAACAAGGTATACTTATTACAGAATTAAAGAGTACTATAGGACTTTCTTTACAAAGTCAGACATTGACCGAGTACTGAGTGACTTACTTCTGTCCCGTCTCCAGGGGAATCCCCACCAACACATTGGCGGCCTCTCGCCATGACAACTCCCGCTCATAAATGTCTGCCAGGTGCTGTCTAATGGCCGCCACCTGTAACCACAAAACAAGAAAATCTAATATATCTTTCTCAAAAACTGTCAAATCAATCACATATCACTCATTTCAAAAACTATGGTCTGTCAATGATTGGCATACTGTATCTGGTCGATTGGAACCATTACCGATCTATAAACACAACTCACTATCTGGAAAAAATGAAAATCAGCATTTACTTTTTATTTTTACAAATGGGCAGTGGCCATGGGATCACTTTCAAAGTGCTGGGATCCCTTAATCATGGTACAATTTCCAAGACAGATTCTCTTATGTACAAAACTAATTTGATTTTACTTGAAAAAATGTGTGTAGTTTGAAATAATCTATGATTGTGGAAAAATTCAATTTCACAGCCACAGTTACCGCAGAAACTACATCATACTAGCAGCAAGACACAATCTTACTTCAGAGTTCTCAAATTATTGGTATTGGTTTTTCCTTCCTATTAACAAAAGCAGATTGATCCCTTTTTCCATCAAATCCACATTTTACTGAACCGGTACCTTATTCTACTGTAGTGGAGAAGAGCTTGTAAGTTGTTAGAACTTGTCTCTCATCCATTTGTCTGTTTCGACAATAAAATATGTTTAAATCATTCTACTGTATGAAAGAACAAGGGCTCACCTGCTCCTCAAATGAGATGACTCGTGTGTGGACCTTCTCCAGTGTAAAATGGGCCACTTGTTTGGCCAGAGGGTCACTCAGCTTGGATAAGTGGCTGCAGAAGTCAGACAGCAGCTGACGCGATATCACCAGACTCACATTCTCGTTGACCACTGGAAAGTTCATTTTTACATTTAAAAACTCCACATTGTGATTACATTGAACAGGCTTTATATATGTATACAGCCTGTATGATCCACTTTTCTGATAATAAATTTACTTTAAATTTGATTAGAGAAATAGCTGACTTGTATGTGGAAACTGGATCCCAAAAGCTGATTTTTTTTTAATAACACATATCTACCATGCATCAAGGCTCTAACATATCTTAGAATATTTAAGTTACATGTACAGATTATAAAAATAATGTTTCAAACAAACTGGTACCATTAGTAAGTTAAACTATTGTAGACATACATAATTCTATACTGCTTGGTCAAATATTACCAAAAATTGCATCACAAGAGCAAGCCAAATAACAGCCCCGGGGAACAATCAAGGTTTTAGGGGAAAATACCCTTATTCAGATTTGGGGGGAATTAAAATTTGATACAAGACTATAGCGTCACGAAGGTAAAAGATAAATGTTTTGTCCGACATACATGTGTGCAGTATATTTAAATTTTTAAACAATTTTAAGCTTAAAATTGTAGAATTTTTGTTTAAATTTAATGGAGAAAATGTTAATATGCAGTATTATGCATTTTAACTGTTGAACTTTAAAGAAAACATATACTTGTATAGGGGAAATATTTTGAAGAAAAAACGGCTATTTTCTTGTTGAAATAGGGGAATTTCGAAGCAAATAGGGGTAATTTCACAGAACAGGGGAATTTTCTTCTGTAGGGGAAACTACCCATAAACGGTAGTGAACCAAGTCTAGATTGATCCCTGAGTCTATTAATGAATCATTTTGTTATTGGTATTTAAGAATGCAAAAGCAAGCAATAATTACTTTCAAATTGAAAGCAAAAACTAATAGTGGTACACTATAAATGCCTTAATGAAAGGCCAAAAACAAACTTGTCTTTCCGCTTTCATCTTCAGAAAAAATAGGGTAGGTAGGTAGGCAATTATTTTTGTTTTGGAAAATATTTTTGCTATGCTTATATAGAACAAGAGTTCAGACTTGAACAGTGCATATCACTAAATGCCAATAAAAACTTCAAGGTAGGCACACAAATCTAAGGAAGATAGGGTTAGCGGAAACACAATTTTTTTTTTAATTTGGCCTAAATAGCAAAATACAGTAGAATTCGTTCAAAGGTGTTTTTTTGTTCAAAATACAATGTAATCTTAATTTAAACTTACAAGCCTCCACAAAAGCCTGAAGACATGGAACTAGGTCACTGCCACCTGTTTTTAATATCGTTTCCAATATCCCTCTGTATCTGTAAAATAATGAGCATGAAAAGTTAATTCAATATCTTTGTTCATTGTGAACCAATAAGAGTATGCATCACATAGTTGCAATATAATCCCTCTGAAGTGAGAATCAAAGACACAAAAGTGGCTTAGTGATTCAACATAATCTATCATCTTTTACCAGCATTTCTATTTTTCAAAAGACACAACTTCAAGGGAGTTCCAACTTTCAGCATTTCATGGAACCGCTGTCAACTTTTTCTTTTTAAGACTTCTTGTGAAGAAGGGTCACGACATTTGACCAGTAGGTAGATGGGATGGAGTGCTATACATTTCCTGATTAGAATTACCTTGACCTACGTTCAAGGTCACAGGGGTCAAATATGTTCAAAAATTAAAACAACAATATTTAAAGGACCATAAGGACTAGAGTCATTATACTTGGATATGTTATGTATCCCAGCAGTGCAAATCTTTTTCTTTGTAACAGTAATGATGTCAAAGGTCAACTTTAAGTGTTAGTCAGGGGTCAAAGGTCAACATGGGTTAAAAGCTTAAATAATCTTCCTCTCAAGTTCCATATGGCCCAGTGTCATGATATTTGGCCAGTAGGTACCTAGAATGGAGTGCTATAAATTTTCCTCATTAAAAATACCTTGACCTACTTTCAAGGTCACAGGGGTCTAATATGTTAAAAACTTCAAACAACAATGTGTTACGAGTCATAATACTCAAGGTATGTTGTGTAGACCAGCTCGGTGAATCTTTTTCTTAATTAAAGTAATGAGGTCAAAGGTCAACTTTAAGTGCTAGCCGGAGTCAAAGGTCAACGTGGGTTAAAAGCTTAAAAATTCAAATTTCAAACAACAATATCTTAAGAATCATTTAAGCGATGGTAAGGAGGCTCCACCCTTTCGTAATTAGCAAGCAGAATTCAATGAAAGTTTCACATAATGGTTATGTCAATCTGTAAGGATGATTTTATGAAAATCTCAGCATTCCGATAAACTGGGGATTTTTTTTGTAAAAAATATTGAAAAATTGAATTATTGTCAAATTCAACACTTCCACATTTTTTGAGCGTGTGGCATTGTTCAAAACTATTACAACAATAAAACAAGAGGCCCAGAGGGCCTGTATCACTCACCTAGATATCTAAGCAATCATGGCAAAATATTCTCCAAATGAGATCCAAGGGAATATGCCAGACCCCAAGGCCAATGCTTGTAGCATATCTGTATTTGATTTGTTATGCCCAGCAATTTTATGTATGGTAGGGATCTCAACTGTTTCCAAGCTGTGACTCAGAAACTAGGTCCCTAGGGTTGTGGCCAGACCCCAGGATCAATTCTAATATCATGACTGCATTCGTCTCTTTATGCCCAACAATTGTATATATAATTTTGGGGTGGGGATCTTAACCGTTTCAAAGTTATGACCCAGGGGTTAAGTCTCCAAGTGTGGGGCCAGACCCTAGCGCCATCCTGGAAGCAAATGTGCATTCATCTCTTTATAGTCAGCAATTGTATATATGGTTATATGGTGGGGATCTCAACCATTTCCAAGTAATAATTTTCTTTTGGCCCTCACCCCTTAGCCGGGGGGGGGGTCAGACCCACCATTTGTACAATTTTGAATCCCTGCCTCCCATGAATGCTTCCGACCAAATATGATCGGTATGGTTCTACAGAAGAAGTTGTTTATAGCAATATATCCAAATTGCCCCCTTTTGGCCCAGCCCTCAGCCCCCTGGGGGGTCAACCCCACCATTTGTACAATTTTGAATCCCCACCACCTAGGGATGCTTCCAGTCAAATTTAGTTAAATTCCAATCAGTGGTTAAGAAGAAGTCGTTTCAAGAAATTGTTGATGGGTAGACAGACAGCCGGACGACGGATGCCACGGAATGGCATAAGCTCACCTTGGTCCTTCGGACCCGGTGAGCTAATAATGAAAGAAACATTGCTAATCAACCCTACAAATATCTTATTTATCATAAAATATCTACAACATGTTACAAAAAGCTTGTTTATTGAAATTGTATGGATAAAAGTTACTAAATACAAGCTCAAAGCAAACAGTACACATAGTTTCATACAAAAAAAGAGTGAAAAATTGAACCAAATACGCACAAAGTCTTAATAATTAATTAATTTTACATTCTACGATAATTTTGATCCTGATGAGAGTTGTCTACCTTGAAAAAAAACGGAACTTTTTGCAGAGGGATAGAATTTATACAACAACATTTATTTTCTTTACTATACCAAAAATGACAGAAATAATTTAAAATACTTTCATTGTCAATTTACTGTTCTTTTATGGGACAAAATTACTCTCAATCATGTACACTTTGGACATCATTCCATAGCCCGCTTATGCATGGTATATTAACATGTCAGGTACATATATGTAACCATGGGCTATCGCATGGTATGCCGTTATTACGTGCACGCACAAGCACTTCCATTTTACAGGGATCTTGATATTTTACAAACCACTATTTTCACAGAGTTATTGTAATTGCATTTGTGAACCGATTTATCTGACAGAGCGTAACTCGCTTGACAACAAAAGTCGTAGCGACCAAGAGCTTGTGAACTACTGTTAGCATGTGATACGTACAGGTGAGGTCGCTAAACAAAACACATCAGTCTGCATTCCATGCGCCTCATATACGACCTTCTTGAAGTCGTGTGATCGTATGTCAGTGTTTTGCCGTGAGTTAATTAATGTCTTTGTATCATAAGCTTTATTTCTGAATTATGTGTAATTACACATTTCCATGTTAAGTCTCGATATCGGGTGTTGATATATCATCTTCACGCACGTGTACTATATTGTTTAACCGGTGTTACTATAATTTACACTACGGTAATGGAATGCCCGATACGCAATACTGAAATGAAGACATGAAAATACGACAAGAAAAACAAGGGTATTTCGAAGGGTGGGAAGTCCATAAAATGGCTTGTGTTCTAGTTACCAAATTTGGTCTGAAGTAACCTATATATGTCAGTTTCATGTAACAAAAGAAACAGGTGAGCGATACAGGCCATCTTTTTTTCTTTTCTCTTTTTCTTTTAGGCTTTCAGTCGCTGGGTACGTTATATCCCAGCGACTGAAAGCCCACAACAAAATAATAGTAGTTGCTTGCTGCTGTGGTTATGTACCGCATCTTTGGAAAAGCTAGCTTGCCAGTAAGGCAGAAGCCTATTCCCCCTATATTCATTTAACATTATGAATTCAATAACGTGTCACGTAAAGATTGTAAACAAGATAAAATAGTTTGGCGTCAGGAGTTGTCAGGAAATGTATCCAGCCTAACTTTTCAGACAAATGTCATGAGGTTTTCAAAACAGTATAACGTCGAATAGGGTGAAAATTTAACCTAAGCTCTGAGCTTGTATTTCGACAAACATGATATAGAATTATTTGCCATGTATCGCACAACAAAATATGTAAATGACATGTACTTAGTTCGTGGAATATGTCTGTTAACAAAAACGCATTACTTTTCTGTTACTTCTTTGTGAGATCCACCTGAATGTGAAAGGCTTGCAAGCTGCGAAAGTTGTTGACGAATGGAAGTCGCCATTTTGATACAGGAATTTTCCCACAATCTCATTCGCTTAAATTTCTTAATTTCTAAAAATAATTAATATTAATGAACGTACAGCTATCTTTTGTCTTGAAAATTTACGTTAGAAAGTGTTTTTCTGTTGAAGATCATCAATCGCATTTTTCTGAAAATATTTACATTATCGCTACCAATCAAAATTTAGTCATTAGTTTCTGCATTTTACTCCGCGGAATACGGACCCGAGTATTATGGGATGGTAATGGTGGGCGCGTGATTTTGAACAAACACAGAATGCCTGCCCAGAGAACAGGTCTGTAGTATTCAATCGACACATAAAACCATAAAATGTCACAGATATGGTCATAGAGCAACATCTCATGTAGTTCATTGCTTGTTGTATTATGTGATTTATCCAATATTTGCTTGCATATTGACAAAATAATGGGACGACCCTTCGGTGGATTCGCCGCTTCGCTTCGGAAAGTTACGATTATTTTTATTTACGTGCATAAATAGGGTGCACGTGGCATGGCTAAACTATTGTTATCGCTGTGAACATTGATAAACTGGTGTGGTTATGCCACAACTATATTTAAATGATCAGATTAATGTTTTTCGATTTCCATAACATGTTTCGCAGTTTAAATTTCCCTGCATTCCTGTCGGCATAATGGCGCGCCATTTGATTGCTATTTACTTATTGTGATAAATTGCAAGTAGGCATCTGCGCAAAAACTTTGCAAAGTATGCATACTGACCAATGCAATTTAAGAAAATAATAGTATTGCATTGACCGTTTCCTTTGCACTGTCTTATCAGTAGCGAGATTGGCCACATTTGTTCCCGGAAGTGACGATAAATATGCACAGCGGGTGAAGCTGTAATACACAAGTTTACAGGAGTGCAAGTTTAGATTCATTTGAAAAATTAAGAAAATATTTTAGTTACGTGAATTATTTAGAAAATGACCAAGAAAAGAAATGAATTCATATCGTGTATATTAAAAGTTCATGCATCAATCAATTTCTTAACTTTTGCATCATCAACTCTTTTTCCATAACACTATTGTGTAATTTGGGAACTTAAATAGTTTCATGATTATTCTATCTAATCATTACAGGTTATTGATTCATAGTTGCAGCAACATGTGTCCTTTAAATTTATTTGTTATATATATATATATATATATAGAAGAAACTAATAAGTAATTAAAAACAAACAAATCCCAACATATAATGTAGCCAAGTTTTGCATTGTTCCAAAAGTCTTACGACATTCTTTCAGTAGGTACAGGCAGACATTCTTTGAAAGTTGGACAATTTTTTTCTCTGTCTAAAAATTTAGCATTAAACTGAAAGAATTTGGTGACAAAATTTTGAGTCCCAGCAGACAACAAATTTGCTTTAGTCCCGTTATAGTAGAGAATATCAAAATAAATTGATCACATGTTCTACCTACCTGTCCCGAGATCAGCCTGGATTTTGTCTATGTAAGATTTTCTTGTCTCTCAACAGATTTTTTGGGGTAGTTTTACAGTTAAATACAGACCGTTTCCCCCTATCAAAAAAAAAGTGCCTTATTTTGCCCATATCACCAAAAAATGAGGAATATTTTCCCAATTTCAGTAAAAATTATGCTTTATTTTCCCAGTTCATGAAGGAACGGGCTGTTGTAGGATTCAGGTAGAAAAAAACGATTGCTGAACTATATAGCTACCTTGAAATATTCTTCATTGATTTATTTTTATTTTTGTTGCGCTTTCTCCTTAATGTTTGTTCTTAATTTTGTTATAGTTTGTAGTCGGTGGTCCTCTAGAGTTATCTTTTTCAACTTCTATCCAGAAAAAATTCTTTAAAGATTTTCTTAATTCTAAATAGTTCATGTACGTGATTCATGTCCACCAGAAAATAAGCATACTTGCAAGATAGCATTGCTGGCAGTAATATTACAGATGTATTCTTTGATAGCCTCAAGTTATTTAAATTGATTTCAATTTTTCAGGCATAGGAAATAACGAAGCTTTCACAGTTGTAACAGTAGCAAGTGATGGATTAAACACTTCCAGCGTGAACAGTTTAGAAGGCATTGCCTCATCATCAAAGTTTGTTGACATCCCAACGGCTGTGGATTACGAGCCCATCGAAAATCTGGAGACTCCCCTGGATACGTTTGTAATCTCTTCCACACCTGAAATAGGTGGAGTGGAAACGGTGCTAGTGGAAGGTCAGCCTCCTGGCTCAGTTGTGTTGCCACAGAATGATTCTGTGGCGAGTAATGTACAACAGCCGGAAATCATCTATGTGTCTCAGCCACCCGCTGCAAAACCTACACCAGAAGTTTTTGTTGTTTCACAACCTTCTGCAACGAAAGCCGTGACAACCATCAAGAGACCTTTATCAGGATCTGGAAACAGTCCTGTGGTGACTAAAGTGATAATTACCAAGAACCCTAATACTAGTCAACCTCAAGCCATGCCCATCCAACTGAATCAGGTCCTTGGTCAGACCATGTCTCTGTCATCCATGGGACAGGGAATCAACATCATACCCCAGGGCTCACAGACACCCACAAAGACAATAACTATATCTCCGCAGGGCATTGTGTCGGCTTCTTCCATGAAACTGACAACTATGTCCTCACCGGGTAAAGTAGGAATACCAGTGCGACAACTTCCAATGTCACCCACAAAGACTCCTACCAAAATAACAATGATTCCTGTGTCGGTGGGAAAGTCCCCACAGCGGATAGCACCAGCTGCAATATCTATGTTAGCAAAGAATCCATCAGAACCTGGGTCTTATACACCAGTGACTATTTCCAGTACAACTGGTAATACTGTGACAGTGTCGAGACCTACTGTGAATATGATAACGATGTCGCCATCAAAAGTTTTAAAACAAGGGACGGTGGTATGTGTTTACTCCATTGTTTATGGCAATTGTCATCTAAATGTGGCACTTTCATATTTTGTGAATATTATCAGGGATGTACAATTCCGTTAGTCTGATGCACCAAGCGATTTTATTTTATGTCTTAGCTAGTGAAAATTGAAATGAAAATATCTTATCTAAACATGTGCACAATATACACATGTATACAAACATAACATGATTTACATATTTACTTGTTGGTGGTAAGTAAAATCACATTTTTTTTTGTTGCTATCTAATTTTTCCACAGATTTATTGATTATATGTGTTTATATGACTTTTCAGATTAACTTTCATAGATTTGAATTTGAAAGTATAGAAAATATGATCTACTGTCAAATATATTTGGTTTATGTAAATTCACAGGTACTTTTATCATACCATGATGTGTTGGTTTTAGCTGCAATCCGGCCAGACATTACTTGGCTCCAACCCTCAGATAATTACACAGGGAGGGGTGAAACAGATGGCCATTCCTATGTCCAGTGTCCACTCGGTCCAGGGCAGCAAGTTCCAGTATCTTCGGTTGGTCGCTCCTTCCTCCCAAGGTTTGCATTGTCGTGAAACTTGTGAAAAATAACCGAGAATGCATAGAAAATGTACGACCTGGCTCGGATTTGGAAGTTCAGATGATTGTTGATAATGACACATTGCTTTTCCTGTTCATGGAAAAGGTTCTATGTAAACCAAGGTTAGGATGCGTTCATGGATATTTATTTGAATGTTATTGAAAGAGCTTTCTGGCAATTATGTATAGCGACATTGGTCGCATAGAAGTACAGGTTGTGTACGGAATGGAATCCATTAAACATGATGAATTAGTACAAACGTATGTTGTTTTAGGTGGGAAGACGGCGGGAGGGCAGTTGACATCAGTGGTACATGGAATACCAGTGTCCAACTCTGGGACAGTTTCCTTGGGTCAGCATGGAGGACAACAAATGAAAATCACACTTCCACTGCAGGGTTCACAACTTGTAAGTTGAAATAAGTGGCAGCTTAAAATGCAATAAGTGCAATTCCATTATATGACTTCTTTTATACAGAATGATAAGGTCTAGAGTCATTGCTGTGATAGATAACTTTTACTTGCATGCGAAAACAAAATAACTTTTTCAAGGTCAGTGGTAAAATGTCCCTGGTAGAGGATGGGATAAGTAAATGGCTATTCTATTTGTTTAAATAAATGCTCTTCTACTTTTGACACACTTTCAAGGTCATATGGATCAATTTGTTATTAAAACGAAATGATTTCCCTATCAGAAGCATGAAGTAAATTGCTATTTGTGTGGTATAGCTTGCTTAGATTAAGGGTTATCAAGTTTGTTCAACTGAATGATCCTGAACCACTTTCAAGGCCACAGGTGTCGAAGTAGATCTGTATTGTAATGGGGGAAAAAATGTTTGCCGTTTATTTATCAGAAAACAGTGGTATCCCAGGCTGGTTCTGCTGGCGTACATCGAATCCTGTTGCCAGCTCAGCCGAACCAAGTACGTTTGAGTACTGGCGGTACAACAACATCAGCCACAACACTCCAGCAGATCCGACCGGCCAGCTCTGCATCCCTAGGACAGCTGCCCCCTGGTGCCACCATACTGTCGGCGGGTAACAGTGCTCAAGGACTACAAGGATTTGCTCTGGTACCAGCTTCGTATCTCTCACAGGTCGGTCTGCAGGTCAAGGAATTAAAAAGAACTTAAATTTGTTTTGTTATAGCCCCCGCAACAACAGTGATCAAATTGATGGTTCAGGTAGCCCACCCCAAAAAAATCAAAAAGCAATGGGATCAAAAATTTAAACCAAAATACAGAGAATGACATTTCAATTGTTATGTCTGTTATATTATCCTTGAAGTAAATGTATACATCAAAAAAGTTTAATTGGGGGGGAAAAATTGTGAAACAGTTTGATGAAATATTTTTCTTTTCTATATGAATGATGAAGTCAAGGCAGACAAAAATTACAGCATTAAGTTTTCTGAATATATCCTCAAATATATACACATTTAATATTGTTGTCCAGACATTTATTGTCCTTATTTACTGCAGTATAGGCTTTTGAATGCTCCATTGAAAATGTGTCTGGTGATTGGTTTCAGATGCAGCAAGCTCCCGCTAAGCCTGTAGCTCCAGTGCTGCCTCCAGAACCCCAGGTTCAGCAGAGTCGACAGGACTACATAGCCATCGCCAGTAATGACCCCTCTATTAGTGCTAACGCCATGGCAAGAAACTCTGTCAATGGCCTAAGGTAATCAGCAGTTTGATTGCAACTCTCGCCATTTCTCTAGTGCCGAACAATTTACTTTGAAACTTTATGGTGTCATATTTACTTCGTCAGCAGTTATGACAGCTTAGTTCAAGGACTTTTCAGAAATAGACCTTGTTTCAAAATTGGAATATATATTGGCAAAAATACTATTTGATTATCTGATTTCTTATGTCAAATCTTGATGAGAACCAAAGTTAAATAGTTAAATAAATGTATTCATAAATAATTACTGGTTGGACTTTGTGCTCATTTCTTTGATACTAGAAGTCCCATAGTAGCTCATGTACATTTACATTTTGAAGAGTTCCCCATTATATGATGTTTAGGTCACTGTGACTTATATATACTGTTTCAGTGACTTTAGTTAGACTTCACATTTAGCTCCATTTCTCTGATACTAGAGTGAAATGGAGGTCACTGTGACCTATATTTTCTGTTTTTGTGACTTTAGTTTGACTTCGCATTTAGCTTCATTTCCCTGATACTAGAGTGACATGTAGGTTACTGTGACCTATATTTTCTGTTTCAGTGACTTTAGTTTGACTTCACATTTAGCTCCATTTCTCTGATACTAGAGTGACCTATATTTTCTGTTTCAGTGACTTTAGTTTGACTTCACATTTAGCTCCATTTCTCTGATACATGTACTAGAGTTCCCCCAGTCATCAATCTTTATACACAGATACATCTTAGTAGTACTTCACCATTATTTGACATGAAGGTCACTGTGACCTATATTTTCCTCTTCACTCACGTTACACTATGCTTTTGGCTCCATTTATGTAGTGACACTTGTTATTGTAATAGCTCTATATATATGATATTGCTGGTGTTATAGTCGTCAAATTTTACACGGACCTCACTGCATCATCATATAATATTCAGATCTACTTCACTAACTGTCTATCATACAAATAATTTACAAGCCCCCTATATCCGATTTCGTGTGTTAAGACTTTGTTAAAACTGAAGTGAGATATTTTGTAACTTGTGCTCTGAAATTAAGTGTTATCAGTGTTTGTCCCTAGCCGATCACTTCTGTTTTATTGTGGAACATTTGAGACATGCTAATGTTAGGTTTGAAATATTAACTTATTTATGATCATCTTGACACAGTCCTGTGATAGAGCCGACCGGTGCCAGACCAAGAAAGCCATGTAACTGTACAAAATCCCAGTGTTTAAAGCTGTAAGTATTGATTAATACTCACATTTATTAGTACATGTATTGATAATCAGCCGATTCTGTTTTGTGAAAAATGTTGAGCTAAAAATTAGGTTTTCTTGAATACTTTTTCACTGAGTCTTATAGATTGTTTAGTGTAAATAAACTAATTGTATATTCTCATTAATACAATTGGTTTGACAAATGGAATTGAATTGTGGGTCACAACAGGCTATTAGCCAGCCACCCGTCCACCTATCTCTTTGATAGGCGGTTTTCTGAAAGGGACCTATTTTGACAGGCACCTTTCCACTACATAACCTTATCATTGTATATCAATTTTGACAGGCACTTTAGTAAAATTAGTTACAATATGAACGTTTTGGACAGGGACATTTGAAATCCTGGCTAAAAGCCTGGGTCACAGGAAGCATGACCCATTATACAAATGTTCTATGATTATTTTAGACCTTACTACTCAAGTGTTGTCAATTATAAGTGCCCCCACCCCCGACTTATATTCACAACTGGAATCACACTTAATAAACCATTGTATCTCTGTTTACAGGTACTGTGACTGTTTTGCAAATGGCGAGTTTTGTCATAATTGTAACTGTAACAACTGTGCTAATAACCTGGAACACGAAGAGGAACGATCTAAAGCTATTAAATCATGCCTGGACAGAAATCCAATGGCATTTCACCCAAAGATTGGTAAGAAAGGACAATTTGCAGAGCAGTGTGGCCTGTTAATTTGTCTTGATAGTTTGGGCTAGAAGACTTCAGTAATGGAGTTGTTATGATGGTAGTAATGTTGTGATCTTGTGTGTTGGGTACAATTGTATTTCGAGCATTAAAAACTGTGACTTTTAATAAGAATTACCAAAAGCTAGATAATTTTAACCCAAGTGGTTCAAGCCTAAATCTGGATAATTTTAAATAATCAGAATTAACTTTTATCTTAATATACTGCTATACTTGTTTTAAGTGGCATACACATCTGGCTGTAGTTATGATTTAGACATGTTGTAGACATTGTGATGTATGTGTTTGTGTCCGTTATAAAACAGGTAAGGGCCGAGAGGGTAATGGAGACCGGCGACATAACAAGGGCTGTAACTGTAAACGCTCCGGATGCCTTAAAAACTACTGTGAATGTTATGAGGTAAGCTTCCATTCCTACGAAATGTTTTGATCTTGTGTATCTAAGGCCAAAACAAATTAATGACTTGGTTCTCAGGCCTGCGCGCATTTCATTTTAGGGCATTGCATTGCCGATTTTTATTGTGAAAGTAATAAAAAAAGAAAAATTGTGAATGCACCAGCCGTCTTAAAAAAAAATCTGGAAAATTGGTCCACATGTCGTTTTACTTGTTAGTCACCCAAGTCCCGAAAACGTTTGAATAAAGATAAGGAAATAGATATACAGGCAAGCGTTAAAACGATTATGACTTATTAACCTCATGTACAAATGGCGCTCATTTCGGTACAAATAAGGAATTGGGGGGGATCAGTGATTCTTCCCTGGAACATTGTGGGGGGATTTTCGGAGGCTTGCTCCATGACGGATCTCTACACATCTATAAAAACTGGTAACATCGATCTGGGAACATGGTCATTCCCAGATAAACTCCGTCCTGCTAAAGTATCTGTGTGTTGGGCGACAAAAAACGGACACATTTGACAAGGAAATGCCCAAAATGAACGCTTTACACACTACACAATAAAAAAAAATCGCCCTCGTCTCATTTTTGCCATGTAAAATGGGGGAAAAAAACCCCTCCCTGCCTCATCTCTTTTGAAAAAAAATGGCCTGAGTACCAAGTAATTATTTTTTTTTGGCCTAAGGAGTTGTCGGTCAGTTATTCCTTGGATCTCGGAGTTGTCGGTCAGTTATTCCTTGGATCTCTTAAAAGCTTATTTAGGTATTAACACTATATAGGTTCATTGGGTTTTCTTGTTGTTGGTACATTAAGACTGTAACTTCTAAACCTAGTTTAACTTAACCTTCTACATTTGCACTCTCTTTGCTTGACAAAGAAACAGATGTTTTCGAAATCCTGCAAAGTAAGTTTTCTATTACTGTCTGCTTTCAAAACAAACTTAGCATTTATAACTTCTAAATCTTCAATACACCTGTGTCACCTCTATAGGTAGGTGTGCAATGCAGTTGATGTTAGTACTGATATTAAAATTGTTATATTATAATGACAAAAAAATAAATAAAACTGAATGTTGTATTCTCTTTCAGGCGAAAATTATGTGTTCAAATCATTGTAAATGTGTTGGGTGTAAGAACTTTGAGGAAAGTCCAGAACGGAAAACCTTGATGCATTTGGCTGATGCAGCAGAGGTACGGGTCCAGCAACAGACAGCAGCCAAAAGCAAGTTATCATCACAAATATCTGGGATACCTTCACGGCCCCCAGTCTCCTCCGCCACCGGGGAAAGGTAGGATCATGACACTAGTATTGAGAAAAATTAGGTATTTGATAAAAAATGCTGGTCATATTTGTCCCTGGAATGTAGAGCATTTTTAGGTCACCTGAGCTTTGCTCAAGTGACCTATTCTAATTGCTTTCTGTCTGGCGTCGTGCCTAAATTTTTTACATTTTCAACTTCTTCTCAAGAACCAGTGGATGGATTTTTTTTAAACTTGGGCAGAATCATCCTTGGTAGATGAGGCTATAAATTCCTACCCCAACCCCTGGGGCCAGGGCGGGGCCCCAAAGTAAAAATTAACCAATATTTCAAAAATCTTCTTCTCCAGACTCAGAGGCACTACAGTCATTTTCTCTGCATGGAAAGAAAGATCATCAGCGGCTTTACCTAAATTGTAAATTTCAGGACCCCCATGCTATCCATTCTCCCTTGGGGACGGGGTAAAGTTTACTATAGTTTATTTAGGGAAATAACACTTTTGGGTATATTTTATCCATTTTCAGCAGAAAATTACTCAAACTTAGTCAGAATCATCTTTGGTGAATGAGAGTACTACTTTGTAAAATTGGGATTCCTGCCCCATCCCCAGGGGCTAGAACGGGGCCCCAAAGGGAACATTTACCAATATTTTCAAATTCTTATCCATTGATGACATGACACTTAGTTTACATGCTGATTTCCACATCACATCTAAACAATAAAATAAAGCTACCAGTTTCTATAATATAACTCAGGTGACCGCTAAGGCCCTTGGGCCTCTTGTTGTTATTCACTGTTGGAACTAAACTGTTTGGTCAGTTTAGGCGAAAATGTTTATTGTACAGAGTCCAGTTTAAAGAGAATTCACAGTATATCAGAGAGCGGTTTTGATATTCCTCGCAAAGGCTTAGCATGAGGCTACTAGTGTTTCGTTTTGGGTTGGTATGCATATTTACTGTATTTTTGTGTGGGTTGAGCATACTATTTACGAAACTTTTGAGCATGTAGTACATATTGCTCTTAGATCTAGGCATAACTTAATGGCATAATGTTTCTACATTTCTTAAAAATGATTGTGACATTATTAGGGGGTGCCCTATAGTAATCACTCTGTCTGTCTGTCTGTCTGTCTGTCCATCCACAAATTTTGTTCCTGGCTGATAACTTAGGTATTTATTGACCGATGTACATGAAACTTGGTCAAGATGTTCAGTTCACAAAAATAAACATTTTTTTTCAAAGGTTAAGGTCATTAGGTTCAAAGGTCAAGGTCAATTTTTACATCTTTTCACTGATGAACATTTTGTTATGACATTATGAAGCAAAGTTGATCAGAATTAAACAAGGAGTCAACTGACCAAAGGTCAAGGTCATCAGGTCAGGGGTCAAGGTCAAATTTTGTAGCTTTTCACTGGTGAACATTTCGCTATGACATTATGAAGCAAAATTGTTCGGAATTAAACAAAGAGAGACACTTAGGTAAAAACTCTAGGTCAAAGGTCAAGGTCATTAGATTCAAAGGTCAAGGTCAAATTTTACATCTTTTCACTGATGAACATTTTGTTATGACATGATGAAGCAAAGTTGATCAGAATTAAACAAGGAGTCATCTGACCAAAGGTCAAGGTCATTGGGTCAAAGGTCAAGGTTAAATTTTGTATATTTTCACTGGTGAGCATTTTGTTATGTTATTATGAAGCAATGTTGTTCAGAACTTAACACAAATTCAACTGACCTTAGTTCCAGGTTATGGGGTTCAAAGGGTAAAGGTCAAGTTTTGTAATTTTTACTGATTAACATTTTGTTATGATATTAAGAAGCAAAGTTGGTTGGAATTAAAGAATAAGTCAACTGACCAAAGATCAGGGTCACTGGGTTAATGGTCAAGGTCATTTGGCTCCAAAGGTCAAAGATAAAGTGGATCTCTGACTTTGACCCTGGCTCTTGATGGAGGAGGTATATAAGGTGAAATAAAAGCTAACAAATGAGTATTGCACCGGTATTAACATTTCTGTTAGCCCAGCAAATATGGAAGTGGAAGGAAACAAGACTCATATCATATTACATGTAAAATGTATATTTTGCTTCCTTGCCATTCTTTTTGAAGTCCAAATGTCAAACGTCAAGCTCAGCTATATGGGCAGATTGCTTCTTGATGATTATGAGGGATATATTGCCACAAGACGGGGTCCTTACTGACCTGTCAGTGTTCTAGTTTAGTTTTGAAGGTGTTTTCAAATATGTGTTCAAAATTCGAAAAATTACTTGAGCTCCTGTGGTATCCATTTTGATGCAGCGTGAAGTAATAGGACTTTTCCAGAATGGTTGGGAATTGGAGGCCCACGTCCCAACCCATTTCAATTGAGGTGGATACTTCTAACGCTGAAAAATATCAGATTAGCCCCAACCACTCGTAGTTCCTCTCGTGTATTTAATTCTGGATATGTCTTCATAGAATTTAAAGTGGACACGAAGATGTGAAATTATGATTGTTTTTATCCAGGTTACCGTACACCTTCATCACGGCAGAGGTGGCTGAGGCGACGTGTGCTTGTCTGCTGGCACAGGCGGAGGAAGCGGAACGGCTCAAGATGCCCCCGGTTGTTCAAGAACGAATGGTGATTGAGGAATTTGGGCGATGTCTTCTACAAATTATCGACTCGGCAAACAAGACAAAAGGTATTAGCACTGTCCACTTGTCTTCCTTGTTTGTATTCATTTATTCGTTCATTCACTTATTCATTCATTCATTTATTCATTCATTTATTCATTCATTCATTCATTCATTCATTCATTTGTTTATTCAATATCACTGGACTTGGTAAAGCTTTGGGATGAGATCTTCACCTCCTGCCTATTAATTACAGTGCAGTCAATCAATTTCATTCACTCGATCCTCTGAAACTCTGAACTTCCTTGTCTTTGCTGACAGTTGACTTTGGTTAGATACTGTCATCATTTTGAACCAGTTTTGACTCTCAATCATCTTTAAAACATGAAAGGATGGACATGGTCCAATAGAGCAATATTCAAGTTTGTTATTGACTTTTCTATGTTTTCACTCTTCTGACTATTCTTGTTGCTGCTGCAATATAGTTTTGCAGTATATCTGTATGTGCAAGCGTAATTTGCGTAATTTTGCTCTGATTAAGTATTCATGGATTTTAGTTGGGAAAAAAGCCTCTTTCCTGAAAATAAAATATATCTATACTTTACAATATGCTTTCTGCAGAATCAAGATAATTTTTGTTTGTGCTCATAAGTTTTGTATAAAATTAAGTGCTATTTATAGATGTATAAAACGACTATGTGGTGATTTTTTTTTGCAGAATTAGTCAATTCAGTTAACATTGAGTCAAACTGGGATATAAGATAGGTTGAGGTAAAGTTTTCTTTGAGAAAGAGTTTTATTTGTTGCATCCAAAGCAAAAACTGATTAACGTTCTTCCATTAACACCTGATATCCATAGTGTAAGACAATACGTTAAGGAGAAATAGAGGTCCTCAAACCAGTGCTCATTGGTTGTCATGTTTATCTAACTACTAAGTCAGTCAGTCAAATTCGAAACCTTATAAAGACATCAACTTTACTGAGGTTTTTTAACGATTTGAAATTTAACGAATGATTTCCAATCTATTTGATATTTATAGCATCAATAGTTTCAGGTTTGCATGTGAGAGGTTAAGAAAAAAAAAATCAGTGTTTACCATGAAAATATACTTCAGGATAGTAGAGGTTTTCAATTCTTGCCAGCCGACAATTGTCTTAATACTATATAGTTGGTATTATTCCAAGTGGATTTAATTTTGCTTTACTCACAGTAAACAAACTTTTGACTAGGTGGTGTTCAGAAAAACTAAATCCTTGTGAGTGAAAGAGTTCCGATCAAGACAACTGCAAAATTGAACAACTATACAGTAATTGTATACCTCTGTTATTGTGCTTCGAAAAATAAATGTGAATGTGAATGACAGTGAATGTCCAACACTGAAAGTCACTACAGCTACACTACTGTATTTCTCGGTTGATAATGGAAGAACTTGATCAGTTGTAGTGAATAGTCGTGACCGTTGACTACTAAGTACATATTTGTCTCTTGTGTACATCTTTACTTAGACTCCGACTCAAATTCCTGAGACAAAGACAGGCAGGCGTAGCCGGAGAAGCCCCTCCCACTAACCAGAGCATGCAGTCCCTCCCTGTGCATCATGACCCCCTACTGTGTACCATCATCTCATCTGTGCATGCTGTAGGCTGGTCCCTGACCAGTGTCCAGCTCCCGGTCAAACATCCTGCATGTCGCTCCAACACGTCTCCCCAAGTGCTGACCATACAGTTGCTTGCTCATCCCGTCATCAATCTCATTAGTGCACCGTCATTTGTCTTCTGTATCATCAATGTCACCTCATCGTCCTGTACATGTCTTCAAAACTTTTAACTGCAAGAATTGCTCTTTATGTCCATTTTTTTCCACAAAAGTTACTTGAAATGTAAAATGGGCAGCAAACAAGATATGATGAAGGAAATTTTAAGATATGTTTGGTAGATTTTGGCAATTTTTTCTAGATTTCAAAAATAATGGATATAAATATAAAAATGATCATTGAAACTATCCAGAAAAAAATATGTGCTTGTTACTGCTTATATTTTGAGTGTACCATTTTCCAATATATTTTTTTAAGATGGACAGGTAATGAAATATTTTTTATTGAAGAACAGTGCTATAATCATCAGGTTGTTGATGTTTTTTCCGCTGTGTACATTGTTCTATGTAGATATACCTCAGGAGAGTGACGGAGAACCGTGATTTGTGATGCACATGGAGATAAAACAACAGACGTATTGTGGAAAGAAAACCGGCCAAGTTGGTAGATGATGAGTGCAGATTCCCTCGGTGTCGAGTGGGAACTTGTGTCGAGGCTCTGGACTTCACCGTTTAACTGTGTTCACTACCTAGATTCTATGCATCATGTGAGAATGGACGTGTCAGCGATGACTCTGGAGAACGGGGCCAGACATGCCATTTTAGGAACCCTCATTTAAGTAATTGTGTACATAAGGGCGAGTCGCACAAGTATGGGACTCGCCTTGTATATTTACCAGTGAACAGATGTATATTATGAGATTGGTGCAAAACATTGTACAGAAAGTTTTATTTAATATATTATGAATGACGGAATCTGACACCAAACCTGCCTATTATCGAAGTGGCAACAAGCGTTGTCACTGTGCTTAATTTCAGTGGCGTTCCGTTCCTGTCAGCCACTGTCAATGCAATGTCAACACTAACCCGTACGCCTTGGTTGATTGCTTCGTCCGCCCCTCCGTTACACCGTATTTACACCCGAATAGCCATCACTACATCTCAATAGGTTTCCTTAGATCTGAGAGTTTTCTACAAATGTTGTGTGGGGATGAAAGAAAACCTATGAAAGTTAAACCGTCTGAATGTTGACTTGAGCGTATGATAATGAACTAGCTGGCAATTACAAGAACCTGCGTCCATCCAAGAGGTTTATTAATTTTACATAATCATTCAGTGGGTTTGATCTTTAGGTAGAATAGTGTAGATCGGCACTAGTGCCTGGTTGCATTTATATAACTGGGTTGATTAACTCCAAAACATTACAAATAATGCAGTGATCAAGCATTTTACCAAAATTATCCTTAAAATTTTCGTAAATCCATCAACTTCACTTATTAAACATTACATGGGAAATTTTATATAAACACATTTCAAAAACGAACAGCTTTTCTTGGTTCTCCTTTTAGTATTTGTATTTTTTTGGGGAAAAAGTAATTTTGGTGTTTAAATACAGAAGCGATGCAAAAATTGAAATGAAAATCATGAAACTGAGGTTTTAAAAGTATTTCCTTGACAAGTTTTACCCTAACATCTCTAAATATTCCATTTATACATTAAATTGTTGAACTTCCTACTCTACCACTAGCGAAGTGATTAGTCAGTTAATCTCCATTATTTATATCCATTTGATTGGTTTAACTTTATAAACCAACAACAATAAACTTCATTAGATATTCAAAAGTTATCATTTTGTTTTACGTCATTTTTTTTTTGTTTTTTGTTTTTTTTGCCATTATTGTAATTCTGGTAACGAGAAATGTACATTTTATAACTGTTGCAGTCTATGTGTGTATGATTTCCAGGTCATATTCACAGTCATTTTCCAACAACATTCTGTCTATGTATTCCTCCTAAGTTACTTTAAACATACTGAAATCAGTGCTGTCCGTATCGTACATTTTTATCGGCTTGTTCACAAATGAGGAACCGACACTTTTCTGGTATATGTTCACTAGATGGTTGTGATGATGTATGTAATTTAGTTCTTTGAAGCGAGATGGAGCAAGGCAATCGCTTGAAAAAGTGTTTCTTTAACGAGTATGTTTACAGTATCTTGTGGCAGACACTATTTGTACTGAATTAATTTAGTCCCATTGTCATCAAGAAATGTTAATTCACAGTTCTCATCATCATAAGTGATTTCATGAGAAAATTGCATATTGATTTGGCTTCTTCGTTGACTTCAAACATCAATGAAGACTCTGTTTGCTGTTTTAAGTTCTTACCGTGTTCTCCGTCTTTTCCTTACCTCTTTCTATCTTTCTTATACTTTAAAAGTCATAACCATTTGACACATTTTTTTTTGCTTTGAAAGTACTAAGTGAGCATTTTCTCATTGTTTGTACCTTATGATGGTAATTTTTTTCCGAAGAAGTCATTTATCAGTGACTGACTTGAAAGAAATTTTGGGTGTATAGAATGGTATGTAGAGTCGGTAGCCAAGGTTCTTTAATCTAACATTTCCAGGGGTGTTTTGTACCGTTGCTATGGATACCAAGATGCAACAATACTGTAATAGATATCATAATTAATACGCTGTGGTAACAGCTGTTTTCTAAAAAGTAGAGACTAATTGATTCAATAAATAACAGTGATAGTGTAAGTTGATCATATTTATCAATCACATACCAGTCATCCTATTTCATAATGGAAACCAGGGACATCCAATTCAATATTTATAGTGCATTGTTATTAAGACCACCAGGTAGGCTTGTAGAATATAAACTCACGATAGGATTTTTTTTTCGAGAACCTACCATGAAATCGGGTATAATAATGAGGGTTTTAAGAGCATAGATGTCAAGTAGAAGTTCATAATGATATTAATCTGTGTATATTAAACGCCAAAAATACATGTGATCTCTTAAAAAATAGGGTGACCCAGGCCTCGATACTGTGTAATCTTATAAGTGCTGTAGCCCAATAAATGAAAGTGTCCTTCTATATGATAGGGATAAAAAAAACCAGTAAAACTTCCTTCCAGAATGGATTTCCACACACAGTTGAAGTGAATTTTCATATTAAAACTATTTCATGCATGTTATACTATCCTTTATTTTTTCAATCGGTGTCAATGGTGGTTGCAACCTAGTTTTTCCGACGGCGGCGTCAACAATGTTAAGGTTTTGCGTTTAGCTCTGTTTCTGACAAAGCTGCACCAACAAAACCTCCATCATAGATGAAGCATGGGTAGTGGAGCCTACTGCACTAAAAACATTTCATTGATTTCTGCATTTTTTTGGTAAAAACTCAAATTTCTGGACTTCGAAAAAACTCAACGTTAAGGTTTTGTGTTTAGCTCTTACATATTAGGCTGTTTCTGACAAAGTATAAATGCTAGAGCAACCAAACTTGGGTCATAGGTGTATCATGGGATGTATAGCTGAATGCATTACACTCTTTACTAGCATTTCAACGATTTTTGTATTTTTTGGGTAAAAACCTCAAATTTCTGGACTTAGAAAAAAAATCAACGTTAAGGTTTTGCGTTTAGCTCTTACATATTAGGCTCTTTCTGACAAAATATAAGAGCTAGACCAACCAAACCTCTATCATACATGTATCATGGGTAGTAGAGCCTACTACTCTAAAAACATTTCATGGATCTCTGCACTTTTTCGGATAAAAACCTGAAATTTCTGAACTTTAAAACAAATCAATGTTATGATTTTGCGTTTAGGTCCGTTTCCTTATGACCTTCAATTTCAATTCTCTTTAAATATATCCTAAGTACTATGTCAAATGCTTATTATATTGACAAAGCGGGACAGGCTACACATATAATTACGCGTAATTCTTGTTTGTTTACTAAATAGAAATGAAAACTAAGGCCTGCATTAACATTTTCTTAACTCCTGAATTTCAAAAGAATATTGAAATTTAAACAAAGCAGTCATTCTGCGTAAACTTAAAGGTCCCAGACCGTAAATGTTTGGGGAAAAAATATATATATGAAAAATAATAAAATGGGCACATCAGAAGAAAAAATGATTTTAGTTGTTTGAGATTTTGAATTTTAAGAGGAATGTAACTGCGTCTATCATAGGAAGGTAATGTTATTGTCCAATCTGAGGCTTGGGCATCCATAGAAAATTGTAAGATTATGTACAGGTAGTTTTAGGAATGTAGGGGATCAATACACTAGCATGTTCTAGTTGTAAATTAACTAGGTAGGCTTACTGTGATACCGCCCCAGATGTCGCAGGCTTGTTTTCTGTATAGTCCTTTAAGTTTTAATGGCGACGTGCCAAATGTACTTGTATCCTTACATGAGGCACGTCACCGCTGTTTTAACGGATGTGCTGCAATACACAGTTCTGTGAAAAGTAAAAACCATTCTGAGTAGAGAATGAAACATAGAATCTGCACCACCCATGTAATGAGGTTTAGATTGATTTTTAAGTAGGTTTGATTTATTTTTTTCCCCTCCATACATAAAGTGGTGATATTCTCGTAAGATTTTGTTCTCCCCTTGGGGTGGTTTCTTACTCGTGTTATTTTTGCTCATGTTTGTTGTTTTGTTGACTCGTGTTGTTTTTGTACACTCTCCAGTTGTCTATTGTCAACAGTTTACTGTCAGTTTTTCCTTATTTTGGCGCAAATTTCTACAAGAGATGAAGGTTACACCTGTCATAATACTTGTTATGGATTCCGTGATTCCACTAAATTACCTCATCTTTTTATGATTCTGTGAAACATTGACAAAAGTGATTATTGCTCTTCTTTTGTTTTTGTTTGTCTTTCTTTAGTTGCATGCAAGTTTGATACTAATGAATTTTCACTGTAACGAATAAATTAGAAAAGTTAATTTGTAGAAATGACTTGAAAAGAACAGATTGGATAGTTGCAGTAATGAATTTTGATTTTGTTTTATATATCGAAGCTTATTTGCGACAAGTAAGGGAAACATTAAAGCTAAATGAAATACCAATGAATTTTTTAGGGTTTATTTTGAAATTCAAGAAATCAGCAAATTAGCAACTTTCAGTCAAACGGAATGCATTAACAAATGCAAAATGTCGAATCTAATCTAATTAATATTGGTCACATTTAGAAGCAAAAGACAGAAAATTTGAAAATGAAATAATTTTTGTTTGGGAAAACCATTAAGTTTTTTACTAGATAATGATCAGACCTTGCCTAATGTGGCTGATTTTGGTTGAATACTGAACTACAATTTCTCAAGAAAATCCCTTTTCACATGCAATATAGACCTTAAATTTAGGATAAAAACTTTTTGGATGAAATGGGTTGTTTTCTTAGATAATATTGAAAATAATCTGACACCGGTAGTAACCCTTTTCTAGTCTTTTCTCCTCCGTGAAATGAAATGTGTACATAGCTTTAAATCCTAAATTTTACTAGTAATGCAAGAAAGGTTTATTTCCAAATATAAACCCTGTTTGTAAGATTGTGATGGGCTTTATCCAAAACATTGGTTTTATTACAGGCTAAATAGGGTACACATGCATTAATATTTACTAAACGATTGGTCAATGTATTTATAATGAGGGCACTCTCTGCATATCGAGGGAATTTTTTCATTTTGATTTTACAATGATTTTATTATTGTATTTTATGGAACCGTGTATGACTCTATAGGGACGTTATTTCTGTATGGTATAAATATATAACAGTATTGCTATTGTTTTCATGATTAATTTGTAATAATGGAATCATTCATTTGATATCCTCAAAGACATGAAATAATTTTTGTCTCATTTTGCACATAAAATACTATGGATTACTGACATTTTTTCCAAGCTTAATTTCACCAAGATACCTTTCCTTAGCAATTTGCAAAGATATTTATTTGTGTGCAATGCATTGTATTACATGATGTATACAATTGTTGGCATGACAACTGATTAAGCAGAAAATGCTTCAGACAAAATTGCAAGAAAATCAATGTCTTGAGAAAGTGTAAGTAATGTATAGAAATTTTTAATTTATCATAATGCACCATCATTTTGAAATAATAATTATTCCGATATTACTATTTCTCTAATCACACACCCTCCGTGTCATATCAAGCCTGTGTAATATTTTTTTATTTTTTTTCAATAGGTAATAACATTTTCTCTATATCTCGAGTGAAACTGTTGTTCTCCATCCTGGACAGATTGGAGAGTGTTTGATTGTGCAATAGTAGAACGGTGTGAATGTGTATTTGTTAGCCTGATCTATAGTATTGTTTCTTATGTCATCTTCATTGGAGCAGCTTGTGTGTGCAGCATACAGTAACACTGACAAATAAATGATATTCATAACTAAAGTGTTTGTGTTCTCCTTGGACATATTAAGGGTGTATGCTACCTTTGTGTTCTCCTTGGACATGTGTATGCTACCTTATTATTGTAGGTCCTTTCCATAAGAGTTCCATTCTTAGAAACCTGTAAGATATATTGTGTTCTCCTTGGACATATTAAGGGTGTATGCTACCTTATTATTGTAGGTCCTTTCCGTAAGAGTTCCATGCTAAGAAACCTGTAAGATATATTGAGGTTACTTGGACTGCAGTTAACTTCTTAATAACATGTTGAAACAGTTGGACATGTGCATGTGGTCACACTTCAATGTTTTCAAATTATTCGATGCAAACTTTCAAAGGGAGATAACTCTCACACAAACTTAAGTACAGTAAAAGTATGAAGTGTGAGGTAGCATACACCAGTAATATTGGTTGATATTCTTCAAAATGTACAAATTATGCAGTGTATTTATTCAAGAACATGTGTAAATATATTGAGAAAGTAAAGCAGTTCAGATTTCTTTACTTCCTTCAGGATTCATTTTGTGGCTGACTTTAGGCAAAATCCCAATTGAATTGAATTTAAAATATAGTCGGTGGCAATGTTGGATTTCATACAGATATGTTAATAGACAAATCTAGAATTAATTGGATTTTAATGAAAGTTGCCTGGTATACTGAATATACTTTGCAGGTTCTTCACTTAAGCCCTAGTATTGTCTCAAATAATAAGTGCTTGGCAGGGCATTCCATTATACTTATACGTTATACTTATACATGTATACTGGTAAATAATGGTCTTATCAAAACAATGTTAAATACAAAAACTGAAAAGGGAAAATCAAAATAAGCCAACAAAAAACGTTCTAAAATCAATAAGGAGAATGTATCACAAAAACAGGTCATAGTTAAATTAAAACAAAGCAACTTTGTAAATGTATTTTTTCATATTGTAGTTTCTGTAAAGCATACATACATGGAGTTATCACCCATATCAGAAATATAGTTATCTCCCCTTTTTAATTTGTTACTTCCCCTTTCAAATTTCATCCATATTTGTACTGACAACTCATTTGCATATTTGGTAACATTTTAAAAAGGGGAGGCAATACCTTCTCCTGTTTTTTGACAGATATAGCACTTAATCTCATTTGTCCAAAACTAAGCACAAGTAATTTGTCGTGTTTTATACTTCTGAAGACATACATAAAGAGTGGTTCAGACTGATTTGCATATATGGACTTTTTAAAGAGGAGATAACTCATACAATCTTTATTTCTTAAAAGTTTCTCTTAAGCTGGGGAGAAGTATCATACGGGCCAAAGGGATATCAATTTTAAACCCCCTCCTGGGGGTGGGGGTGGGGGTAGGGGTAGGGAAAAGGAGGTGGCTCCAATAAGGGAGAATATTGGGAATATACCAGTAATTTACATGGAATAACAAAATTATTTGGTATTCGACACGACTACTTCTGACATTAAATTTTGAAATTTAGTGAAAGCTAAGAACTGTAAAAAGGCATAACAGAGCTCCCATAAAAAGAAACGGATCGAAAAAGCAAGCACATGTGCACAACTTCAAAAAGTGTTGACAATTAACTTCTGAAAGAGTTTTCTGGACAAGATTCCACCTAGACACACAACCTGATTCTGGTACATACAACTTTTCTGCAGGAGTATCACAGGGATCTGAGAATTTGTTGCAACAGCTGTGTTTTGACCTAAACTTATGAGGGGTCAGAGTGGTTGAGGAGTCCAACCATCTCTATATCCCTAGCCCTTCACCACTTGGTGATTGGTTGCCATCCTCTATAGCATTTTTACCAAGAGTTGATCTAAACCCCTAAAACATCTAATACTGCTAACACATCTTACTAGGTCTAAACATTGCTGTTGTATATGATTCTCAGGTCCCTGTGTGGAGTGTAACACTGTGGTACATTTAACACAGCTTTCCAGATTATACAGGTTTCAACTTAAACAGACTACACTTTTTATTGAATAATTAAGTCAATAAACAAAAACACATTTTTCATTAAAAAATATTTATTTGTGAAGAATGTCACCCTGTTAGAATGACACATTGTACATGTACAGCAATAAAGTCTGCCATACACCCCCTGATGGTACACATCAGGCTATTTCGGAGCAGTATACAATGTGATTAAAAAGTTGATCGTAATGCAAGGAAATCAACAACCTAACAGAACAAATATGATATTAGTAAAAAGTTTTGAAAATTT